GCCGAAGCTAATAATTCGCCCGAAATGGAGGAAATAAAGTTACTGCAAACGATGCCGTTGAACCAGTTAAAATTAACATCACGCGCATACGTGTATAGTACGAGCAGCTGTCGTTTGTCCGGGCGCACAAATATACAGTGCATATCATAAGCATATATAGCCTACTTTTGTCTCATCTACTTTTGAAAGAACGTTGAATGCGTAGCATTCCGACACGCTCGAGTGTGTCGATGACAACACAGGTGGTGCAGTCAAAAAAAAAAAAAAAACGACTGACCCCATCGGAGGATGGGGTATGGGATATGACAGACTTGGCTCGTTCCGATTCATGAAATAAATTAAATTGAAAATAAATAAATCAATATTATTTTCTTTTTAAACATTTATGAATGTAAGAAAAAAAATGAGCTTTATTCGACAAATAATGTATTTTTCGAAAGCGGTAGTACGCTTGATTTCATTTGTACGCCTGCGGATGTTTTAAAATATTACGAATCATTGTGCAAACCGTAGAAACAAGCTTTTGTGAATGATTACAAGAATGATTTTCTAAAAGTAACACCTGAATTATATGTCATGCGAAAATGCGAGCATCGAGAATTTTTTTTTGTTTCGGGGAAAATCGATCAATTTTCTCCAATAAATATCAACTTCAAAAAAGCAGAATGGACGAATAAAACTAAAAGGATCATCAGCCGCATCGATCACTTCCACACTACCCTTCCACTTGCGTTATACGAACGGCTTTCATTTTTCCAGTATAATCTGAGGCTTTGAGTCACCGTCTCAAAGTTTCCGATACTCTAAAGATACCACCACGTAACGATTATGCCACTCTCTCACGGTTTATCATAGATGGTTAATTAATATTGTTATTTGAATAAAAATGAATCGAAATCACTTTTAATTAGTATCCACTTTTATGAAATTACTTAGTATCTTCCATGTATCTGTTTTGATCCAGAGTTTGAGTCATATGTTATAAAATATTTTGGTTTTTTGCATATATACACGCGTCTATAGTGATAGAATTCTGACTTTCTTTCTAAAAAAATTGTCTTGGAAATATAAAATTTTTATAAAATAACACGCATAATGAAAACTTCAAAAAAAAAAATAGCATTCCTTCTTTATTTAAAGTTTTAACACTATACAATGGCTATAATTTATTTTTTCAAATCTCATCCACAAGTCTAATTGAGTAAGATATAATCATTCACTGCATTATTCAAATTTACGTACGTAATATAGTAAAAAATGACAAGAGGCTGATCAGTAGTTTTTTCATACGAAGGGCCCATATAGGTAGTCATTTCTGGACCTCGTTGGCTATGTATGAAGCTCGACTTAAATTGCAATATTTCTCGTATATTGTGAAAAATTCATTAGTATTATAATGCAGTTTGGGAATTATATAATTTCTCGTACTTGAGATAAAAAATAGTACATCGGTCTAGACAGCGAAAAAGAAAACTCCAGTGTGCGTATTCATGGCTAATTACTCATGGATTGAGATAATTCTACTATTTTTAAGACCGTTATGTACTATTTGATTGATCGTCACATTTGACATTTTATCGGTCCAGCGTAGAAAGATATTATGAAACCCGGAGGTAAAATCTTATCTTTGTCCTATCTAAGTAATACAAAAATTGAAACATGTTTTCGCCTTCAAGTTTCATAAGATATCTGTCTATTCTAAGCGAAAGATTTGTTCATTGTACGCAAATACTGAAAGTAAGAGGTAAGACCTATGGGATAGATCATTGAGTAGCGATTTATGATTCAGCAATGATTTATGAAAGAGGTGCAGAAAGTTTGTTGAAATAATAAATAAAAATATGAGAAAGTAAATACAATTGAATTAGAAGCAGATGCAAGCGCGCTACATCGATCTAGTATATTAATAAATGCGTTGATTGTTGGCGGCATGAATCGCAAGAGGAGGGTATTTTTAAAGAAACTGGGTTAAATCGAAGGTAACGCGTGAAACGAGCGAAGAGCTGTCTTTGATTGATTTATAAATATATATGTGTAAAGGCTTACGAGCTAATGTCTGCATTGTTATACAAGCGCATTACTGCTTTGCTTATTGACATATATTATAATTTAGCTATGCAATGGAGCTCACACCTCGTACTGGTGAGTTACCTTGACCTAAAATTCATCGGGAGACTGGAATCGCGATCAAATTCGAAAATAGCTGACCGATAAAATTATTATACGGATCGAAGAACTCGGCAGGAAAGAAAAGCGGCTCGGGTTTGGTAGTGATGGAGGTTTGCGCGGAGAACAACCGAAAAATCGCTCGGAAGAATTACCATAAATACGGGCGCGCAGTCGCAACGAACCGTTATGAACCTTTGCGCACTTTTCTGCTTCTGAATATTTAAATATGCACGAGTGTGGAGCAACAATGTAGGCGCTTACATTACAGTGTACAGGCCCGCCTATGCAGATCTGCTTCGTCAACGCTCGAAGGTCGGCGAACTGTTTCACCTTCTTCTCGTCGTCGACTTTTTCATTCAATCCGTTCAAACGTATACGTATAAAAAGTCATTTTCAAAGCGAGAAAAGTCAAAGTGCCAACTTTGCAAATCCCATTAAGGATGAAAAAACCCTCACCCGTTCATCGTGTGTGCTTTCGACCCAAGTCGGCTGCGCTCGAGTGAGTAAGCGAGTGTTTATGTAAAAAAAGCTCACACGTGGAACTGTATGGAGCCCTTTTGAGCGAATCGCGATACTATTCAGCTTGAATCGCTGTAAGTGTGTTTTATGTATATATGTAAATGAGAAATAAATATAGCATGAGTATAGATTCTTTTGGCATCTTCTATAATTAGATCTAATCTCATTTCGCGATTAAAGCCACACAAGAAGTTGAATTCTCAGTAAATAAATACGTATGTATTATGTACATTTTAATTTCGTCTGACATCTAAGAGTTTTGTTTTATCAACATGGTTTACAGCACTTGTTCAAGTCAATTATCGAAAAGTTTATCGATATTACAAATAAGTGAATTGTGGTACGCCAGACATTCGACTGTTAAAAATTCAAAAGCGTATACAAACAACGCAATCGGTCTATCGTTTCATTCATCAAAAGAATTCGCAAAGTTAACACCTTCCCTCTGCGGGAATGCATAATATTAGAGAAAGTTACCTTGGTGTTAAATAAATGTTCACCGAATTCATGTAACTCACCACAAACGTTGAGCCATCCCTCAACTCGGCACGGGTACTCCAGCTGCTTCATTTTCCTCCAAAATATGAAAAACAATATATTTTTTTGCGTCCAACTATTGCACTGGTCGATATTTTTCCCTTATCTGCGTTCACAAGTATATGAATAACACCACACTCTTACTCTAATGCATTTACAAAATACACTTTCACTCACTTCGACACTGCATACATGATCATGTGTATACATAGAATAGGTATAGTTATACCAAACTCCACACTGAATCTGGGAAATTTATATGTAATACATATAAAGTAGAAACTTGGATCCGGCAAAGACCATGTCGTTTCGGCTCTGTTATCACTTCCTGATTCGACACATGGACGAGCAAAGGTATAGGCTGTAAAAAAGCACTAATAGCGCTTGCACTCGACTACTGCAAGCTGCTAGTGAAAAAACTTTGAATTTTCATGAAAAAACTAAAAAGCGCCCCACGACCATATTCCCGCGGGCCTTGGAGTTACGCAACACACGTTGAAGAATTCCTCGGATGATGCTCATTTACACACATTCACTAGGAGAAAAAAATACGCCAGCGAGACGGGCGCGCCACACGCAAAGATGCGAGTAAACCGGCGTCCGGAATGAAACTGAGTCTAGCTGCTGATCATGGCACATAGCCGTACACACGACGCGAATGTTGGAAAGTGCTATCCCGGTGCGACTCACCTCCTCATATCTCTGTACATGTGCGCGCACACACACACTTCGCACACATACATTGCTGTGCAAATTTCTCGATCGAAGCGACTTGGCGCGCTGTTAAAACTCTGCCGGTAATGCAGATTCGATGTTTTGTTTGTATCGCTCGAAGCATCTAAAACGCATCAGTTATGGATTTCTATCGTGTATTTGTCTTGCTTTAGCAACATTGATTTATTATTGTTTACTGCTTAATTTCAAATTTTGCATGAATTGTCAAAATCACCAGTGAATATTTGTCAGCTGCTACGAGTCGCAAAAACTGTGAACAATACTCTGTCAAAGTAACTTCACCGTAAAGAATAAGGATGTTATTTTACAAAATAGCTGGTAAAGTTGCGGTGAAATTATTATGGTAAAAGTCATTTTTGAAGAATGTAGGACGTGGAAAAAGCTCACGCGCAGACAGACGGTAGCGAAGTTCAAGCACAGTATCGATTACGTGCGCCCTAAACTTTCTAGGCTTTTCTGTCGGAGCTTGCTTGTGTACTGAGCGTCGTGCACTACAGCGTCTGCTCTGCCAATGACGAATTCAGCAACCCGTCGCGAAGGAAAATTCAATGTAAAACTGCGCGTTACGAGCTTACCGAGCTGAAGAACTTGTTTCTAACAATCCGCACAGTATGATGACAATTCAACAATTCAAACAGAGTTTGCACATGAACATGTGGTTTTTGATGTTTCAGTGCTTTTGAAATTTTGCCGAGATTGATTATTTTGGCTCATTCCGTAAATTTTGAAACTCGCGCTCAATCGCAATGCTCAACTTTGCCAACAAGAAACATTATTTAACATTTGGAGGAAAAAATAATAAGAAAATGCACCTATGCCAATATAAGCAATTAGGTGAAAAAAGCAGTTTCTCTGCGTATAGGTACACCCCGTATACCAGAGGAAAGTACGGATCGCGAAGAGAGAGAGAGAGAGAGAGAGGACGAGAGAGCATTTTCAGCAGCAGTAGCCACGACTAGCGCGCGAGAGTTTCGAAGCTGCGCGCGAATGTTGCGCGTACGTTTGTGCGCTGATCGCAGACTTGGCGGCGCGGCTTGGTCGTACTGTCGTCTTGTCGACTAGCACTAGTCAGTTTTAACGGAGGAGTTGAAACAACAGCACGTTATTGTGGCCGCTCTGACAACACAAGCGAACGAGCGGACAGAACTCCAGCAGTTAAAGAGAAGCAACGAGAGTGACAGAAGAGGTCGGACTCGTCGTCGTCGCAGTCGAGTGCACTTCTCGTCGTCCCGTGAACGAGGCAGTAGTAGGGCAGCCCATACTTACCTGGATAATCGGCTTGCAAAAACACTCTTACTGTCAAAATGGCGCTCAAGGCACAAGTCGGTCAAAGTGAGTAAGGATCCACGTTCCTGTCTGTGTTTGCCTTTTTCCCGAGCTTTTCGGCCTTCTCTTGGCAGTGCGGAAAAACGGGACGTTTACCCACGATAGTCGGCTGCTCGTTATTGTACAATACATGTAATGTGTGTCAGTGCTGCTGTGTCATATGCGCGTTCGCCTATCTCCATACGGGTGCAAGCGAGACGGAAGAGGTGGGCGTGCGCCGATGATTTCATCGCGCTCTTCGCCACAATCGGCTGCTTCTTCGCGTATTTTTATATATCTACATTATTCCTATCAGCTTCGCTTACCACGCTGATACTAGCCACTTGAATGAAGTAACAGCTTCCTTTATATAGATTCGTGTTTTCAAAGTCACTTTTATTTACTCTCTTTCGATCGAACGTAATTATTTTCGCTTCTTTTTTAACGTCTACGCTTAGCAATGATGTCAGGTGTCAAAATTGACCTTTACTAAAAATCGTTTCTTCCGAACTTTAATGAGCCAGCTATTGTTTTTTTATTTTGTCGAATACATCCCTATGTCTAATTGCGTTCATCGCAAATTATCTTTTGGGTGCTGAAAGTCATTGAAGATTAGCATTTTATGCCTACCTTTTTTATGCTCTTATACTACCGAGAAAGAAAAATTATCAAATAATTCAATTAAATACGTCAAATACTCATTAACACATGATTCGCTTTTTAAAACTACGATGAAAATCCGATCGTAAATGCTGTATTACAGCCCAGCTGATATGCGTCAAATGAAGCCCACTAAAAACCAATTGTCCTTTTTACTCTATGAATTATGACGTCGCTTGTTGATTATTTCTATATCTTCACATTTATAATTGCATTTGGCTTTGCAATGACGTCATTCATGGTTGAATGTTGCTGTATATCCATTGATTGTAGCTATTTAGACTATATTGACTAAAAATGGGATTTCATTCAAGATTTTGTGTTATATTCATTTTCATTTCCTCATTTTGGCTTACAAAATCTCTTTTGTTTTTTTAGAATGAACGCTCAATCTTTTTTATTAATATTTTTACAAATTCTGGTAACGAGATTCGTACAATCGAGAATTTCATACTTCAATTTAAAGTTATATCATGAATATTTCAATTACATATGCTCATAATATAATCTCATGAACGATACTCGTGGTACAGGAAGAGTTAACATTCATTATGTATCAAAATTTTTATGCCTAATTAAGTTGAGCATTGCATGCGAATTAATTAATGTTAACAATATATATCGTAATGATTTACCCTGGGGGGACTGCACAACGTCTACCACTGACCTTTATCAGAAAAAAATGTCTGTTCAAACGCGCTTCAATCTAGCGAGAAAAAAAAAGATTAATTAAATAGCAGAACGACTTTTACCTCATTTGTAGCCCTACAAACACGTATTAAGTGAAGAGAGCGTGTGCGCGAGAGGCATCTCAAATGCGTCTATATATACATGTGCAGCGAGAACAAATATGGTAAAAAAATAGGGAGCACGTAGGTGCGCAAGCGCTGGGTTGAATTTACCCCTGCTACTGGGCGACGCCGATCAATACCTCGAGCTTCGGCTTACATTGCATGTATACCTGTATGTACGAGTATACCTGTACGTGTGCATGTACACATACATCAGACAATTTTATAAGCTGCTTTTTTCAATTCTTGCGCGAGTACGAAGCTATATACATGCTAGAAATTGATGATACTTGTAGATAGCGATGACGCTGCAACATTTCTCATTATTCAGACTATGCGCATCGAGTAGTATTTTTTTGCTAGCTCTTTGATCCGATCGAAGATGCTGTATTGAAAATGCACAGCGTTGAATGCAACGTAAACGTCTATTGTACATTTTGGGCTACAGAAGAAAATAATCGATGACTGCACGAATGCACACGTACCAGAAGCTTTTATTTTTACTCCCATACTAGTTTGAAAAATTGATGAGAATTAATAAGACATTGGTTGTTCAATCAACAGAGATCATGAACGAGGTGATCAAGCAAAAGAAAAAAGGCCAGGCAGCCGGTGTCGAGTGGCGGATCCTCGTGGTCGACCAGTTGGCCATGCGTATGGTCTCGGCTTGCTGCAAGATGCACGACATCAGTGCCCAGGGCATCACCCTGGTCGAGGACATTCACAAGAAGCGCGAGCCTCTGCCGACGATGGAAGCCGTGTACCTGATAACGCCGAGCAATTTGTCCGTCACCAAACTCATCGATGACTTTAGCAATCCAACAAGGACCATGTACAAAGCCGCTCACGTATATTTCACCGAAGGTACGACTCGTCTAGTGCTTGATTATTAATTTATTACATTAATACTCCATGAATAAATATAATCATTTTCTCGAGGGAGAAGAAGAATTATCGAAATTAATCGAGCGGGCGATCTCGCTCGACGGGCAAAATAAAGAAAGAACAAATTTTTTCAGCTGATTTTGTTTCACAGCTTGTCCCGAAAACTTGTTCACTGACGTATGTAACGCGGCGGTGGCGAAATTTATTAAGACTTTGAAAGAGATCAACATCGCATTTATTCCTTACGAAGAGCAGGTAAAAATATTAACTGAATTCCAAAAGCGTGTACATTAATAAATTTTAAATGTTATTAACAAGAGTGCGTTTTCTGTGTGTCTCTAACTGGTGCAGGTCTATGTAACAATACACCATCATTCTTTCTTTTATTATTGTCACTTATTACTAACGTATTGTGGATCTCTTTCGAATAACATGATAACTGCAAAAAATAATTTACTCAACTCCTTGCTAATTTTGCATTAGTAATGATCAATTAATGTTGGTATCGATTAAAATATGCGAAGATGTATTAACTGTTTGTGTTTTTACTTATGAATTTCAATTAAGTTGATAAGTAATGGTATCTTCTCTCCCTCCACGACTCTTGGACATTTACACGCACAGAAACATATTGATACCCGAATACACACTGACATATAGACACAATAATATGTTGTATACTAATTGTTAAACATTTGAAAATAATTGTTCGTGCACTCCGTTCGTTCAGTGTGTCCTGAAGAACTGTTCAATGATATCTGCAAGTCTCTTGCTGCTAAAAAGGTCAAAACCCTCAAAGAAATCAACATCGCTTTCTTGCCCTACGAATCACAGGTGAAAATGAGATCGTAGATTCGCGCTTTTGAAGCACATCACTTTGTTTTCTCATAATATCAAAATGCTGAAGCTAGTTTAAAAATAATAATCTTCAAAAATTTTATTTTTAATATCTTATCTATGTTTTTTTAAAGAGCTACATGGAAATAACTTTATTAAATTTTTATTCTATAGAGCCTAGCTGTTCAGAAAAATATTTCATAGATATTAAACAATTCACGATGAAATATTTTTTATTTTTACTTTAGCTTTAACATACAATAATTAAATTAGTATAGTCACATATTAAACTCTTTGATTTGAACTGTAATAAGCACTTTTTTCAAAAAGAATCGACCCGCTTATAGTTGTACATCTTCTAATATGTATTCTTTCAAAGAAGTTTTGCTTGTTGATATATTTCGCTTTTACTTTCAACTGTCTGCTTATTACGGTTGATTTTTCATGTTTGCAAATAATAAACTTTGATTGGTGTCGAGGCGAAGAAATGTGGCGCAGAAATTCAACTGGAAAATATTTTCGCAGGTATTCTCTTTGGATTCTCGAGAAACGTTTGCGTGCTTTTATAATCCCTCGCTGATAAATGTGCGAAACGCCAACATGGAGCGTATTGCCGAACAGATCGCCACTCTGTGCGCCACCTTGGGCGAGTACCCGTCGGTGCGGTATCGCAGTGATTTCGATCGCAACGCTGAATTAGCCACGATGGTGCAGCAGAAGCTCGATGCTTACAAAGCCGACGAGCCGACGATGGGCGAAGGCCCTGAAAAGGCTCGAAGCCAGCTGTTGATTCTCGATCGTGGCTTCGACTGCGTGAGTCCACTTTTGCACGAGCTCACCCTGCAAGCTATGGCCTACGATCTCTTGGAGGTTGAAAATGACGTTTACAGTTACGAGGCGACGCAAGGACAAGAAAAGTCGGTTTTGTTGGACGAGAACGACGATCTGTGGGTCGAATTGAGACATCAGCACATCGCCGTAGTATCTCAGTAAGTTCGCATCTGATGTTTTATGTGTCTCATTCATATTAACAAAATGATCTTTTTGACAGAAATGTTACCAAAAACTTGAAAAAGTTCACCGAGTCGAAGCGCATGCCTCAAAACGACAAGCAAAGCATGCGAGACTTATCACAAATGATTAAGAAGATGCCACAATATCAGAAAGAACTCAGCAAGTACGCCACTCATTTGCATCTTGCCGAAGATTGCATGAAACGCTACCAAGGAAACGTCGATAAGCTCTGCAAAGTCGAACAGGTGCGTTGTACTTATTTTTCAAGTAATTCGGAATTAAGTATCATCAGTCGGCTAGCGGTATCAGCATCCTCTCTGATTCTCTTATCAAATAATAATTAGTATTCTCATTCAAATTAGGATTTAGCAATGGGAACTGATGCCGAAGGCGAGCGCATCAAGGATCACATGCGTAATATAACTCCAGTTCTTCTCGACCAGACCGTCAACAATATGGACAAATTGCGAATCATAGCGTTGTACGTACTAAGCAAAAACGGCATACCCGACGACAATCTCAATCGGTTGATTCATCACGCCCAAATGTCGCCGGAGGATAAGCAAACCATCGTCAACATGGCTAATCTTGGTCTCAACGTCGTCGTTGAAGGCAATCGTAAAAAAATCTATACCGTACCGAGAAAAGAACGAATTACCGAACAAACATACCAAATGAGCCGTTGGACACCGGTTATAAAAGACATAATGGAAGATTCGATCGAAGATAAATTGGATCAAAAGCACTTCCCATTCTTAGGTGGCAGAACTGCTAGTTCTGGATATCATGCACCGACGAGGTAACATTTCAATATCCAATTCAATTTTTCATGAATAATTATTTTTAGTTAGTTAATTAATTCTCTGCGTTTTCCTTCTAGTGCTCGTTATGGACATTGGCACAAAGAGAAAGGTCAACAGACGGTCAAGAACGTACCGCGACTGATTGTATTCGTGGTTGGCGGTGCGTGCTTTTCTGAAATTCGCTGCGCTTACGAAGTTACAAATGCAGTCAAAAATTGGGAAGTAATCATTGGTAAGATGCGATCATAAAAGAGTGCTATACTTTATTGAAATGACCAATGCATGACAATTAAATTTATTTTTAGGATCTTCGCACATTATAACGCCAAAGTCGTTCCTCGATGAAATGTCCAAACTTCACATAAATTGTGCTTAAGTTTATTATTTTAAAGCAAAAACAGTAATTGAAGCTGCATCGACATGTAATCAGTACCTCAGGCATTCCCTTCATTTACGTGTATCATGAACTAACTAAACAAAAATCACCACTTTCAAGCTCATCGTCAGTGAAATTTTCAATAGTTTTGATCAACCTGATATTTGACAATTAAAAAACCACAAATTTAATATAATAAAGACAAAATCACATTAGATTACGCATACTAGATTTATAAAATGCACTTCAGTCAATTTAACTCAACAGCAAATGGTAACGGTTTTGCTATTATGAAAATAATAATGATAATAATTACGGTGCACTTTTGAAATATCTTAAAAGAGCCCACACTAATCAATTTATCCAAATAAAAATAGTATTAAAAATCAAACAGTTTTGAGCGCTAATGGGGTTACCTGGTATATAAGTGCCTGTGAGAATGAATCATTTGATTCTGAACACGTTGGCAATATCATTATAGAACCTTATTCCAGGTAGAGAAAATTATCTTGGCCTGGGAAAAAATTCAAAGCATAATTATTAATATCATTGTTGTCTTCATTAATTTACATGTGATCAATTTATGGTGTCTTAATATCCTCTGTGTTTGAATTTTGAATATCGATAATTGTTCATAGTAATAGTCACGCAATTGCACTATTGTAAAAAGTACTATTCTGCAAATATATTAAGACGAAAATTCATGTGACTTCTGATTTACAATTAAGACTTTGAAAAAAGCTGTTTCACTTATAGTTTATATGTAAAAAAATTATAAATATGTATAGTATAATTATTATATGTTACTAATACAACTTACACATATGTTAAAAAGTAGTTCAGTAAATAGTCATTCATTCAATAAATGAAAACGTATGTAAGCTAAATTCAATTTTTTTTTCACAATATACAAGAATCATTCTGTTAAAAAAAAACTTGACATCTTTACGAAAATTAATCAATGCATAAAGATAAATTAGTGTTGGATAAATAATTATAAAAGTTAATTATATAAAAATAAGAATTTATTCATAATCTTTTGTTATTCGAGTAACCGAGTAATCTTTTATTATATGAGTAACCGTATTACTTAGGTGTGCCTGTGTATTTAGCGCAGTAATTAAATTTGATGTAATAAATGTCATTGATTGCAACATTTTCCGTAAAATAATTATGCTTAAATTTTTACTTAGTTTTTATCAATGGCCTATCAGTTTAAAATATTTATAATTTTTTATTTCGGTTGACTAAATATTTGTAATAAACTTTCTTTGGAAGATCTTTCATCATTAATAAATTTAAAGGTCTGGTGCGTAAGAAAATTGAAAATCATCAATGTAAAAAGATATCAAGTATGACTATAATTTAAAAATTCGAGGATTTCTAAAATTTATAGAAATATATAAAACTCTTAGCGCATTTTGAACACTTTTGGTAACTGCAGTAACGTTGCAGTTGAACTGTCATTAGGCTAAAAAGTTATATAGGGTAAAGTTAAGTTTAGGGGATCACTTTTTGGTCAGTGAAAGTTAGCCTGTTAATTAATTAAAAATTTAAATAATTTAAGTATGTTGAAATGAACGTTGCGGTTGCACGGTAACGTTGTCTCATTTGAGAGTTTATGATATTTATAAAAAATGAATAAGATATATGTACTGACGAACAATTATAAATCTGTACGTAACTAAAGTATTTATTTAGTTAAGTTAAGTACATATCTTAAGTCTAAAATTGTTTCGTTTGATGAAATCGTTATTATATCTGTATCACAAAAATATTTTTTTAAAGTCATAAATGATTTACTTTTTATTATTCTTATTATTAGGTACGATAAATTTTAGGTGTTCAAAAAAGTATTGTAAATTTTTTCAAGTAGAACATACAGTTTTACTATTTATTGTATATGGTATTAATCTTTAGACTATATTCTTTGATTTAAAACATTTTATAATTTATATTTTTCACAAAAAAATTCAATTCCTTGCATGTGTACTGCTTCTAATAAATTGAAATAAAATAACTTAATTCCAAAAGCAATTGACCAATGATTCTTTCTGGCCTTGATCTTTTATTTGATCAATTCAAACTTATTGACAATTCATTATATTTATCGATAAAAATTATATTATCAGAATAAAAATGTAGATTTTTTACAATATTCGCTGATGGTCCAAAGTCCTCTCGTGTTATAAAATACTATTATAGCACAGTCTAAGCCCAGCGATAAAATTACGATTTTAAAATCGTAAAACCAACCTGCTGCACAATATGATCAAAAACAATTTCGTTATAATCAATATGTACTTTTATCTTTACGAACCGCGAAACACCATATGACATGAGGCCATTGCCCCAAAAACATTTGATATTAATTTGGTCAAATGTTACAAGCTTAAGATAATTTTTTAAGGGATATATTATTTTTTTAAATTTCTCAAATGTCGGTTTTGTTAAAGGTTAAAATTCGAAAATATAGATATTTTACAAAGATACAACTGTTTTCATAGGTAATTCTATTTACTACACGTGTTTCATTTTTTCTTATATTTTCTGACATTCCATATTGAGGTAGTGCCCTCGAAAAATTGACAGTGCTTTTCATATGTGTGAGAAATTTCAGGAACTTTAACCAAACCATTTTCGAAATATAATTAATTAAAGTTCGGTACTTTAACATGGGATCCCTATGCTAGCGCGTCGAAAAGACGCTATTTTGTGTGATTATAAAAAAAACTCATCGATAGAATCTTTTCAAAAACTAGGAGATGATTGTACAGTATGTCCTGAAACATAGCTCAAAAACTGGAAAAACTTGACCATACAGTTGTTAAGAAAAGTTAATGAAAAAAATTGCAAAAATAAAAATTTTAACTTTTGGACCTGAAACCCACTCTTATGGGTTTTTAGGGTCATTCTAAACAAAAAAGTGCTCTTGCAAATTTTCTCTAAAATCTATTTTTCACGAGCTATAAACGATTCAAATTTAAACAATTTCAAGCAATGAACCTTTGCGATTTTTTATCTCAATAAGTATGAACTGTACGAAAAATTTAAAAAGAACAAAAAAGTCTTAGAATTTGTCAAGGAAAACGTATGATTTTTTTCAGATTTTTTCCAGACATATGTCCGAATTTGTAGGTCAGGTTCTGAGGGAACTACCCTAAATGCATTCCAATTTTGACCACAAAAGCTACATTCAGGGGTAACACCACTCTAGGCTTTTTAAAAAAAAAACGTTTTTTTTGCAAAAAAGCTCCCTCGGAGTGTGTAGAATGATGCCAAATTAGTTTTATAGGGGAGACGAAGTTATAAGATGTTTTGTTTTCAATTTGAGTGGAAGGGTCTTTACGAACATATTTTCGCAAAATCAGCGAATTTCAATAAATTTAGTATTTTTTCCATTGAAGCACTGTCGCTAAAATTTCATGTAAGTACATTATCGTACGAGTGAAAAGTGACTTTTAATATGTAAAACGACCTGAACAGGTTGCTATAGAAGGCCAACTGTATGGTGCAGGGATCGCTGATTAAAGGTAATACATAGGTTTTGTATGAATTTCGTACCAAAAAAACTTTAAACGCGCTTTTCTCGAAACAACGTATTTTGGCACTGGCGGAATGATATCTCGAAAAATATTGAACCGATTGAAATTTGAACTGAAGCTTTAAAATAAGATTAATAAGGGAAGTACATAGGATTTTTTCGATAAGTTAATTATTTCAATTTTAATAAACAATATTCGGAGGGAACTTTCTCGAATTTTTGAAATTTTTTTTAGAAACACCCAATTTTCACAATTTTCACTTTTGAGCTAAAATCCTACGCACTTTCCTAGAAAAAGCATTTAACTTTAAGACCTTTTTTGAAATTTTGTTCTAGATGCCATAGAAGTCGAGAAAGCTTTCCGCCAATCAAAAAATCGCTATTTTGTAAAATTGTGATATCTTCGCCATTTTGTGACTAAAACTTATAAAGAAATTTTTTTCTTATAGTTGATTGCATGTATTATTAGTCCTCAAAGTCTTAAATTAAAGTATACATCGTGGCCCCCACAAAAAATTCATAAATTTTAGCAATTTTCCAAAATCCTACAGTGGTGTTACCCCTTAAATACGAGACTCAAGCGTCTTTAAAAAATAATACTCATACGTACAATGTACGTATGTACATTATTAACTTACCGATTGTTATTAACAATTAAGGAACCGAAATCATTGTTTTTTTTATCTCGGCTATTTCTCTTGCTAATTTAGTTAGAGAGGTCGTAGAAACATTCTGCCTGTTATAGATTTGTAGGCTTTGACAAGAGCTTTAAATTTTATTAAACTTGTTTTTTTAAATTGTTCTACGTGCATCTTACCCGGAGATACGGCTATTTTAATATACCTCAGTATTCTAGAAATTCATCATAATTTTTTGGAATAATTAAAAATTTTATAGAACCATTTAGCCCATTAGTGGTTTAATTCAGTAGAATTGGTGAAATGTACGAGTCTAAAAAATATTGTTTATACAATATAAACTAGTTCAAAATCGCTATGTAAGCATGAAAAAAAAGTTTATTTAACTTGAAGCCATTCTTTTTTTTTTTTTTGGTAATATATAGATCTTAAAAAGTTGTTTATCTAACCGCTCAGCATATTTGCAACAACGTTACCACTAGACTAATTGACTACAATAAAAATAACTAAATTTTACTAGTTTAATTAAAATTTCACAAATCAACCACCTGAGTATTCATCAGCATGACCGGGGAAAAGTTTTCGGTTGGCTTATCGTCGAATTCCTGAATCTCATGAAAACTGTGAAACATTGAAACAGAAGTGCATAAAAATGTACAAAACTGCATTCCGATTACCACCAAACAATATACAGCACATCTTCGACCCTATTAGAATTGACCCTCATAATTTAATGTAAATGAAAAAAACGGCCATTGAGTTACAGTGGTAACGACAAAACATTCGAAGTTGTGCAGAGGAGATTTACGCTTCGCTCAGCACCAATCTTCAGCAGCAAAATTTCTTTTGCAGATCCAGCTACCCACTTCAGCTGGATCTGCCCATAAAATTATTTTCAGTGTACTGCAAAATAGAATATCGGTGATGCAATTCAACGAAATCGATTACCTTAGGATATAACCGGACCATCATCTCACTTGGATAACATATATTTGGACCAAATGTAAGCGGCTCCATTTAAAAGTAAGTAAGAAAATAAATTAAATACAAATAAAAATAAAATGAATTACTTCTTTGCAAAAGTATATTTAAACCATTTTGGACGTATGGAATCTAAATCACAAAATTAAGTTATATGAAATATTTAATTCCAAGATATTAAAAAACAATGTCAATATTAATAATCTCATCCTCTTATAAAAATCTGTTTAAATCCCATCCCAACACCGTGGCAGCTCAACTCGGAATGAAGTCAAGATTTTAAAAACATCCCCCTCTGAGTAGTTGATCTTGTAAAATTCGAATAGTTTTCCTAATCAATTAGGACTCAAGTCATTAAACTTGAGCTCACATATATTTCTAATTTTTTTATTTTTCATTTATTATTGAAAGATTTTGTGAACATATTGTTAATAAAAATGGGATATAAAGAAAAAATAATTTTTGAGCAATTCTGAAAGTTTGGATACACGTAACTTAGGACAACTTAAGGCTCATTGAAATAATCCAACAATCAGCTAATTGAATTCGGTAATCGGAATGTGAATTTTAATAAAACACCTGTATTAATATAAATATACATCTATTTTTAATTCCGTAGAAGTTGAAAATAAGTAACAATTTTAATACACAATAACACCTGAAACATTAAATAATTTTTTTTAGCTTTTTTATAATAACCTTATACGCTTATTTCTCAATGATTTTGCACTTTAATTGAACGGCAACATTTTTTAAAAAAAAAAGGGGATCGTTGTGAAAAAAAAACAGTTTCATTATAATATTTAATTAAGTGACGTTTTTCGTATAGAATAATGATGCAGTCATTAACATTTAAATGATCATTTATTTACAAATCTCAAGTGAGTTCTTGTGGTAGATTTTATAATTTTTTAAATAAAAAGTATCAGTTTCATTAATTAAGACAAGTTCCTACAATAATACAAAAGCCGAAACAGCGATTTGATTTTATCACTATTTGCTATAAACTTAATTATGAGTACATACTAATCAAAAATATTTATCGTTCGCAACCAAGCTTTTAATCCCATTTGAGAAAACAGCGTATTATGTTATGGATAATTTCAAGAACTATTCAATTCACAATAAGAAAATTATTGCTCATAAGATCTCCTTAAATAGCAGTCAAATCTACATTCATGAGTCTTATGATCGCATTTGATTTCGAAAATAAGAAATAGCACTTTGAAATTTATTTTTTCTAACTATATGCTTCATTGACGCAGATACATTAAAAAATTATTAGTTATTCTATTAGGACGAGAGATCGTTTATTCATAAATTTTTCATTATGTTAATAGTAATTGACAAATTTATCTTTCGGGATTTTAATGCTTCATAAAAACTTGAATTAATCCTCCAACAAAATTAATGTACTATTAATTATTGATTTTCGCATTACTTATGTATATAATTTATTTTAAATAATACATTGAAATTCAATTTTAAATAGCACATTTCTTACAATGCAAACGCAAACAAATGTTGTATGATTCTTACATCCCAAAAAACTGTCATTCAATGAAAAAATATGAAATTTCGAATTACATTTGCTTACAGTAAATTATTTTCTTTGAATGCACGTCTATTTTGGTGACTAAAATTTGTTCAGTAGAAATTTTCAAGTTTTGACATGCTTGTCTATTCCAGTTAATTTATAGACTTCACAGCAGCTTATTTATTAAATCTTAATGATGCAAACTTTAGTCACATGCATTAACATACTTTTAGTGAAAAGCTTAGCTTTGAAATATCATGTTTATTTACAAGTTCAAAAGTTTATTTCGGCTTATCTTCCAAATTGTGACAAAAATTATTAAATCGAATATATAATTTCTAACAACGATTAATGACTGAAATGTGGAAAAATATAAAACAACTAAATATAAACAACTCTGGCATATGATATTTGTTTTTAATTTTTTTTATTCAATTTTTTAATTTTTTGCTTTTTGTACTTATAAATTAATTTCTTAAAAATTAACTTACAGATTACATCGGTATCACACATATTTGTTCTATTTACAATAACGCATTTTCTTTATTCCAATATTAATTGGTAATAATATAATCTATATATTAGTTATTATTATTTTTACTACCAATGTTTATTGTTTTTCAATGCGTTGAAGTTTTTTTTGTATATACAATACAAATTTATGAAAAATCGAAAATAGTTAAAGAACTATTTGTTTTACGTAATTTCACTAAAAGTTCATTCTTTTTTATGTACAATCATACATTCCATATCTTTTTATTTATACAATGCTTACAGAAAAATGTCTTCATTTGACAACGTTAAGAATTTGTCAAACCAACATAGCAGACATTGAAGAGCGAAACAGAATTAGACGTTTTACTCGAACGTCTCCGAACTGTATCACTGTGAAAAGAAATGAAGAGAAAACAACCGAACGAACGAAACGGCCCATTTTCGGCAGTGAATATGAATACAATAGTATTTCTACATATGCGAGCGCTTCATACTGATTTTGAATTCTCTTCATATCTTTTTCGCAATGTCTCTGTTACATTTGCTGCTGTAACAATATTTCATTTTTTTTATTCTGCAACTATTAGACAATATTCTTCTATACACAACACGATTTTTAAATATTTTATATATGTAATAATAACTTTGCTTATAAATAGCTCTTAAGAATTCGACGTCGCTATTAATCCAGTTTTTCGTTCACTCTTTCATTTTGGTAATTCTCACGAACATCGACACATCTTTAACTTAATTTACAACACGAGTAATATTTTTTTGTACAATTACAAAGATTCTTCAAATTCTGCCATCAAATCACTCTGCATAGTGATGTTAATTTGTCCTGCCATCTGGGGAAACATTTTTAACCAATATTATTTAATATTCGCCTATTAAAAATTGTATCAAAAGTTTTACTTGTTCTATAAAAAAACTTACCGCTGCACGTTTTCTTTTTTCTTGTTCAATTTTTCTTAGCTTAGCACGTTCGGCAATTTCGTTCTTTGTTGTGGGTGGAGTACTCGTTTCTAACACGGTCGGTTTAGTGAACTCTAGCCGCATATTTGGAGGGGATTTGTTAGTTGGTGGAGAAATAGAATTTTCTTTACGTTCTATTTCATTTTTACGCTCAGTTTCTAAACGATGTCGCTCTGCTCTTTCACGCTCAGCCTGTGCTCGACGTTGCTCTTGCTGCTCTTGTAAGGCACGTTGCTATGAAAAATGAAGTCATTGTTATGATTGAAAGAATTTCTCATATTTCATTTTTCCAATTGGTTAACTTATTAATCAAGGTAACTTACCCTATTTTGTTTTTCTTTGGCTGCTTTTTTAAACAATTGAAAAGTGTCTCGAGTTGCATCCTTCGCGTTGGCATTACCAGCATTTGATGATTTCGGGCTTGCCGATTGAGCCAGAGATGACCATGATGATGCATTCTTAACGCCAGTAGTTGAAGCTGTACCACCCGGTGGGCTCACCTTTTTATTCAACATGGGTGGAGTTGATTGCTTCTTTTCAGGTTGTACCAAAGAACTCGATGAATGATTATTAACTTTTTCTGTTACTTTATCTAAAATAAAATGTTATCTTTATTAAAGTGAAAAATCTAAATATTATTAACACAGAGTAAAAATAATGCGAATTTTGTCTAGTGAGTACAAGAAAATTTGAATGAGAATGATGAATTACAAATATTACAAGTATAAGGTTAACTATAATAGCAAAATGAAAAGCTCGTGGTTTGAATGAGGTGGACACGAAAATGGATGAAAAATGAATTAAAAACATACAATGAAGATTATAAATCAAGAATTTATAAGATGATGAATGAGTGTATATGATTTGGAAGTCAAGTAAAATGAAATTTTGAACATGAAAAAATGAAATAAAGCATAAGCAAAGCGTCATGAATAATTAAAAAAAATCTCCCTCACGACACCTACCATCCTGTTTTTGAGTTGCGACATTTGATTGCGAAACATTGGGTTTAGTTTCATTTGTTTTCATTAAAGGTGTAGTTGGTGGTGATGTGCTACCGAAAAGTTCTGCGAATTGGCTCATTCGTTTAGCATCTTTCGGAGACGAGGGCTTATTCACAGTACTTTTACTAGTAATACCATTTGAATTTTGTGAATTACTATCTAAAATTGGTTGCCGAGTCTGATGTTGCAATGGTTGACCTCGTGGTTGCACCGACGAGTCGATTGCCATTGGGTGAGCTCGAGGTCGATTAAAAGGTTTTATTTGATGCTGTGTTTCCATTACAGGGCGTTGAGGCAGTGATGATGTATTTTGAATCAACTGGCCCTGAGGTCCAGATTGTTGATGGTTCTGCATAGAAGCGTGATGATGCTGATTTGCAGCTTGCAGAACATTAGCATTCATTTGATTATTCTGCATGTTAACGTTAACGAATTCTTCTACATTTAGTTGCGACATCCTATGTTTGTGTAATAAATTCTCTGTAAACATTGTAGGATCATTGGCTGGGAATGTCTTGTTTTTAGGATTTAGCATCGATGACTGAGCTATATGTTGCATCAATTGTTGTTGTTGTTGTTGTTGTTGTTGTTGTTGTTGTTGTTGTTGTTTTTGCTGCTGCTGCTGCTGTTGCTTTGTTTTTTGTAAATTTTGTTGTAGTTGCAAAAAGTTTGCTGCCTGTTGTAGTTGTTGTTGTTGTTGTTGTTGTTGTTGTTGTTGCTGTTGCTGTTGCTGTTGTTGTTGTTGTTGTTGCCGTAATTGTTGCTGCATATGATCTTGTACATGTGCATTATCTATGCTCATCATAGTCTGCTCCAAAGATACTGCTGAAGGTAACATCGATGGCATCGATCCTGATAAACTATGCAAATGCTTTTGCATTGTTTCTTGTAAATCCTGCTCCGAATTTTTCGCTGGTAACGTCTGTTTAAGGTTTGGCTGAGTCGAAATCGGAGGTGGCAAAGAGCTAGGAATCTGCAATTGTTGTTGGATTTGCTGCGAAAACTCTGGTTCTTTGGAAACATTCGCAGCATTGAATGTTTGCTCCAAACTCGATGATGCAGGTACTAATGTTTAACAAGGGAGATTTTGGGTGTTAAATGGTGATTTATGCTGAATTTAGCATGGTGAATATTTCATGTACAGATAGCAAGATACGAGCGACATACGTAGTTTGAAATTCAAGTGACTGATTTTATGCTTTGTGTGCAATGTAAAAGTGCAGTTTGAAATGAATTATTATAGGATTAATGATTTAGTTAAAAAGGACTGGTAGTAACATTAAAATAAATTTATTACGTGTTACACAAAATATCAAAATAACGAAGACATGCAAAAACTTTGAGTAAAAAGTTTAAATAAGATTTTTCCAAACGCGATGATAGCATCATACGTTAATAATTTTACTTTCATTATGAATAATATGTCAAGAAGTAATTTGATTTTAAGATGCGAAATTTTAAGACAATTTTCAAAACCACTACGTGAATCACTCTATATCCAACTAAATAAATAATAAATAAAAATAACAAATTATTTTTTGTACTTACTCATACTCGAAGTGTTGATTCCATGAAGCAAGTTTGTTTGTCCAATTACATTGGGATCTACATTGTGATGAATCATCGACGTTGCCATACCTGCATATGAGCTAGTAGTTGAAACATTGACTATTGGCTGTGACACAAGAGGCATTGTAACTACTGGCAATTTAGGTTGCTGAAGTACTGGAATGGCGCTAGCTTGCGAAGCTTCTGGCACAGCAGGAGTGATAGAAGTGGCAATTTTACTTGCAACTGGAAGTTGAGGAGTAGAGTGATGTTGAGGCGGTCCTATTTGTAAAGGTGTTTCAGGAAGCTGGGCTGATAAATTGTGTTGTGGAGTGGTTGGAACCAGAGCTGGTTTTGGCATAGGCGCAGCGTTTGTTAGTGATAGCGGCCTCGATGATTGCACTGATATTGAGGCATGATCAACAATGGAGACAGCCGCTGGGGTATGAATATTGGCTGAAGTATTTCCTGACGCAGTGGTTGCAGTGATCGGTTGGTTGACGACTGATCCGAGCCCTTCTTCATCTATTTAATTTTGGAATAAAAAATTGTTTTAGTAGAGTCAAATACATAACAATCTATTTTCGTTGAATAATTGCATTAATATGAATCAAAAAATTTTGCATTATCGAGATATTCAAGAAGATATCAAATCCAAGGTTGAAATAAACGTTTTGATACACGTTTTTCGGGATTAACTCTAATTTTTTTCCAAACAACTACGCGAATGACTAAAAAACCATTATGATGACATTTAGGTGATTGTTTTGAAAAGTACTCAGTGAAAAACGAGTAAAAAAACTTTCATTTTTGCTATTGTTTTGGCATCTGCTTAAATGTGAAATTTCACAATTCAAGTTCTAAAATCTTAAGCAAATCTATCGACAGTGATGAATTCACAATGAAAATTATTTTAAATATTTAATTAATTATGATAGAAATTTTTATGTATAAAAAAGCAATAGAATAATAAAAACTAAGAAAATAAATAAAAAAAAAAAGTAAACCAACTGGAATGAAAACTCAAAAATTACTTTGACTAAAGTTTATAATGGAATGAAAATGGAATGATTAGTAAAGAAAAATTTTTGATCATTTTTCATATTTTTCATAATCGAAATGTTAACCATTTGATCATTAATACTTAATATTCATAAATTGACTTGTTGCAATAAGTTTGAAATAGTAAAAAAAAATTTATCTACCAAAAAAAAAATGGAATTTCAAATTATGTTTAAAGTTCATGAAAATAACCAGATGTTGGTTTTAATAAAATGAAAGCATTTTTTCTTTCAGTAGATAAAAATTTTATTTATTTCATCTACAATATACAACAGATGCATCATAACCAAAATAATTGGTTACTTATTTTTTTTACAAATTTCATGTGTAGTTTATTGATGATGTGTTTTCACATTTTCACCAAAATGAACCTTAGTCAAATTACCTAATTTGTTCTATAACAGTCAAATTAACACATGTTTTAACCGATGCGTAAATTTAAGATGCTAAAATTTTTCAGAAGTATTAAAATGTAAAATTTACTAGTATAGAGATCTTCCCTAATAAAAAAATATATAACTAATGACAGTAAACTACTTATACAGAGTTTAGCAATTGTCTACATCGGTACTTATAAAAATCTCCTCTCGTATATGCATGTTCATATATAGTATTATATAGATCATATCGATATGAATAAATTCAAATAACAATTTAAAATCAACAATTTTATTTAATTATTATATGATAAATAAAATTCTTGAAAGATTTGTATGTATAAATATACAATTATCAAGTATGAAAAAATGTTCGAAACGTTGATGAAAAGAAATCATACGAAAGACTCATGAAATCGGACCAATAAAAGTTTTTCAGTACATTATTATAAAACGAAGTGGCTATTCTGGGGAGATTCGAGTATAAAAAATGATACTTCGTGCACGAAATTGCTTGGGGAAGGTAAAGTTATTTGGAATTTCGTATGCGAATTTACTGCCCCCCCGAATAGCCAAACCCATGATAAAACCTGTCTTTCGTCTATATAAGACAAGTCAAGTTGACTACTTTTTACAGAATTTTTTTACAATTATAATAAAAAATTCTACAATAAAATCCTTTTGCTGCAGTGTACACAATATTTGATGTGAAACACGTCGAAAGTAATACTAGGCGAATATTTATGCAAATTATTGCAAAACCGACACTCGTAGTTAAAATTACAGTAAACAACGATTATCGATCAAATGAGACAATTAGTCATGGTTATTTATAAAATTGGCAATCTGTCCTAATTTATCAAGCAAATACATTGTTTGTACCTTGTTCTGGTGGATTGCTTGATTGAGATGTAGCCGATTTTGAAATTGGTCCCGACGCATTCAACGTTGCTTGACTGTTCATAAGCAAACCCGCAGTATGATTTAAATTAGCTGCCTGCATGAGTAATAATAACAATGATCATGAAAGATTCAAAAATCTAATCTAACTACTCTACTTTGCACCGAATTAAACGTACCGTAGAGGTAGTAATGGCCGTCGTAGCCGTTGCTGTTGCCGCAGCCGAAGCTGGTCCGACGGAGCTAGGCGTAGCCTGTTTCTTTACTTTTTTACGAGACTGTCGAGTACCTGTATGACCTAAAATTTCAACATTTACGTGCACAATTACATAAAAGCTACGATTACCCGTTTATTCATCGTTTAAGTCGTCCAAAACGTCCGTCTTTCCATTTCGTCAAACATTGGTTGCCGTAGAGTGCCACTTTGTTCAGCGTATACCATGAGCCAGCCAGTTTATTATTATTATCATATCTACTATTACTAATCAAAGTTTTTGTGAAACCGATTTCTTACGTACGAATAACCATACAAAATTTTCTTCATTATTATGAGCAATTTGTTTATTCATGTACCCGTAATTTTTGTATCACCGTGTACATAAAGAATATTTTTTCAATTACACTGTTTGGGTGCGTCGTCTTTTATTTAGAAAATTATCACGTAATATTCTAAACTCATCATTTTCTTATGATGAATATTCATATATAATATATAATATATATATAATGTTCTTTTCGTTATCTTCAACTGTAAATATTGACGATGAACTTCGTACCGTTTTTCAACATTATCAAAACCCTTACTTTCTTATGTACATTTAAACTACACATTAATACTTTTATGAATGCTTTTTTTAATGATTTATCAGAATTCACTGTTTAGTGAAAAATTAGTAGGTTTTTGTAGCTCTTCCTAATATTAAAGGACACTCGAGATACTTTTTCAACAAAATATCTAAGCCACACTCTGTGCAATATATACTTATTAATGAGATCAATGGCAAGACCATCCTTTCTTTAATTGGTACTAAAATTTGATTTTAATTCATATTCATTACACCTTTCAACATTAATTGAAAAAAAAACTACTTAAACCCCGACTGCATTTATTTCGTAAAGCACAATAAATATTCTACCTTGATTTTTATGAAAAAAATAACCATATCAAAGAGTCTATTTTAGTAGGCACTTGGTGATGATTACTTATTAACTCATACCAATTAGTGTGCGATATTTTATGACTCTTATAAGTATACATTTTATTAAATTTCATTTAAATATCCATTCAAACGCGAAAAAAATCAAAGAAACATAACTCGTGATAAAAAAATTAGGATGACACTATTGAAATTTTTACATGTCTTCATTTTGTATTCATTTTCTTTGAAAATTGATTGATTTAGAAATAGTTCCAAATACTATTTCATATCTCAGTATAAACGATGAACAGTAAAGAAAAATCTTTCAGATAACTTCAATATTCATAGGAGTACACACGAATGTGAAAAAGATATCTGAAGTCCAAATTCTTTCAATCCAAATTGCAATTTCATTACATGATTTCTGCAATATTTACTTTTTCATTTTTAAAATACATAGAAGAATTACAAAAAAAAGTTCAAGTACTTTTGTACTAGCTATATCATACTCTTAGATTCACGTGAACATTATTTTGATGGCGGTAAAAATCCGAATGCGACATTTTGAGTAAATGAAAGTTTGATCATCAACTAATTTTCATTTGTGTGTATATATATATATATATATTTTTTTTTATATATTACGTTAATCCTAATTCAAATATGTACAAAACATGAGTTATTTCACTATTCTCAGCATTCGCAAATACATGTTTTCGAGTATAATATATATTTATTCAAACGCGATAAAAAACATGTTTATAAATGAAAATTTTTTTTCAGAAAAAAGATAATTATTTAAAGAAGCAGTTAATGTAAATTTATCATAGACATAGACGCTGTGACCAAATTTGAAAAAACTTGCCAGGAAAAAAATAAACTATCAACCAACACAACATACGCGTGAAGAATAGAAATTGAAGCATTTTAATATTTTTTACTCAATAATCCCAAAAATTCCGGCCGAGGATAAATTTTACTACTGAATGTACAAGTACATGCTATAAAACAGCTCTATTTCATAGAAATTTCGTTTAAATAAAAATTCTAAAGAATTATTTTTCATTTGCATCCTTATTGTACCTTTTTTGAGACAAAGTATCTATTCTTTAAAACATGAATTTTAGGAAGAAGTCATGAGCTTACACTCGAAAATATGTAAGTCAAACATCGCGGAAGAACGTACGAAAACTGACACTAGAAGTACAAAAAATGTTAAACAAGTGAGTAAGTAATGACTATTCAACTTGTTATTTTGATAATAATATAACTATTATAATTTTACAAAATTTCACTGATACACTTTCTCTCAACTACACTGAGATATTTTTTATACACACGATGTATTTTGATTTAAGGAGATTCAGATCCCAGCCTAAAATTAAAATTTGTAAAAAAGTTTTCTGAAAATTCGACTAAATATGTTTTCAAAAGACTTTATTGGAAGCTTAGGATCGTTGAAAAAAAGGTTCCCATGGAATCTCTTGGAGAAATATTGTGTATTATGTAGAATTTTCAGAAAATTTGTTTGAAATTGAGAGTTTTGGACTGGAGTCTAGATTTGTTTAATTTGATCAAGTATTTTTTCAATTTATTCAACTAGTGCCGTTAAAACTAAAATTTAAGTACTTTTATTCATGTACGTTTGTAAAAAAATCATAGCAAGAAGTTAATTCTCTCCTTAATAATTAATTGATCATGGCTAATCTTTTGCACATGATAAGTCAAATTTGATAATTCTTCGGAACAACAGTTTCATACAATATAGTAATAAGTTCGTATAATATTTTACATTATTTGACACGACGTAGATTTCACAATTTCACCGTCATTCATTCGTATATCAATTCATCTTTCGTAATCAAGCATCAATATAAAATTTCACTATTGGATAATGCAAATTAGTTATTATTTGAACATAGCTTGCCGTAAAGCTCAGCAGAGTGCAAACAATGTGTTCGGAGGCTTATAATGAATCCGTGTTTTATCAATAAAACATTGTGTTTTATTACATTTGTTTTGAAGAAAACTTCACCAAAATCACTTCAATCCAATTTCATTTCTCTCACGTCCATGTGTGTAAGCTTCAGTTCTTTTTTATTACATCAGAATTTTATTCTAAATTTCAAAACTAAGTTTTTTGGGGATGTTATTTTAATGATTGAGATTTTTGTTAAGCTTCATACTCTAATGAACTAAAGGCAACCAATTTTAATCTAAAAACAAGAAATTCAACTGACTCCGTATTCATTTTAAATAAAAATATATAAATATATAAAATACAAATAGAACAATTTTTATAAATCTCGATCGTGTCATTCCATTAATTTAATATTTCAATTGAGTCTAGGTATGAATTTAACTATTCGAGAACGTATTGATTTTGGTTTTTTTAATAAAAAATATTTCATTAGAACTGTGTAAGATTTTACTTAAATTACCGTTAACATGTATTTTCATTCCAGCCACCAAAACACATTGTCTGCATTCACTGCTTCTGATAGCTATCGTTGATGTCAGTGTTAATTTTTTGCTTTTTAGTTAATGACTAATAAATAAATTCTTAGCACATATACCTTTATTTTTTATATGTAAAAAAAATTCAGTCCATCGCTTCGTCATACGTAAGTCTAAGTCTCATAAATCAACTAAAAAATGCAAATGAAAATATTTTCTCAGCGGCTCGGCATGTTTTAATTCAAAATTTTCGTTTTTCTAATGACTTGATTTTTATTGGTAAAATTTATACAAGACTTATTAATGCTTCAATTGAGTGCATAGGTCTTGAAATAAAAAAATAAGTATATAAAATAATACAGCACGTATTGTATTTGGAAAAATAATTCGTGATCTTACGGAATTTTATGAAAAATTACAATCGATACCTAAAGCTTGAAGAAAAATTGACTATTGCATTTATTTTCGTGAGCTACAAAAACCTACCTTTTCAATAAATGGAGCAAGAGAAATTAACCGGATTTCATGATTAGGGTGAAAACGTGATGCTTGAAAATAAGCGAGTAAAAAATAAATATTTTTCTGTGAAAAAGCTGGCTTAGCTTCAGTATGGTATCCTCTAAACACAGTATGCACTCCACTAGCTCACCTTGTTCTTACCAAAACAATTTTCAAATTCATTATAAAATTCGTAATTATAGTCGTGTTTCTTTTAATCGGAGAATTACTAATAACAATAATAATCGCAGTAACCAATAACTACTACATGTTTGTAGACAAATATAACGGAAAGTTCTTCGGTGTTCCGTTAAGTTTCGCAATTTATACGGACGTTACCATGAATACGATATTTACGAATGAATTCAGTATAGATGGACATTTTGCGTTAAAGTGGCCAATTGTTTCTACGGTTTTTCTGCAAAAAATGAATTGATTGCAGTTGTGAAACGCAGCGTTTCAAAAATAAACAAGCATTTTTCAAATAAAGTCAAATAACTGATTACAACTAAAATAAACTATTAGTGACTCGTGAATTCCGAACCGAAAAAATATTCGCAACTGATTTGGAAAATTGCAAAATTTATGTTGTAAGGATGTATCATATAAGGGGACGCATTTATTAACGTGAACTAAATAAATACAGATAAGTTAAAGTATACGATTTACTCAAAAATTCACTGAATTCAGAGAAAGAGTAATTGCACCTATTAACTTTTTTTGTAATCCCTTCCTCAAGATTTCAAGTTAATACGAAGTGACGTTTGTATTTAATTTGTCCAAATTTATTCATTAGAATTAAAGGACTTACCAGTTTCGCTATCACTGGAATCACTGGAACTCGACGACAGGGAACTGCTACTCGAATCACTATCACTACTACTGCTGCTAGATGCAGAGAGCCTAGAAGCAGCAGCTCCAACAGGGCCAGTAGCATCAGTTGCTTTGCTTTCATCTGTAATATTCATAAATACATGTTAGTATTTTAAAAAAGTTACATGTAAATTTTCTTCTTAGATAAAAGAAAAATAAGAGAAAAAAATGAAAAAAAAAGGATATGAAGAAAAAAATATACGTTTCTAAAAGAAATAAAATAGATCTAAAAAAGTAATGAAATAGATTCTAAATAATCCTGCGAATTTCAAATAGTAATTGCTGGGTCAATTAGTGACTACGTGTTTATAAGTATAAGTAAAGATTACAAAAGAAAAATCACACCTTTTTTCATTGGTTTTTTAACATTTCCCAACTGTCCAGAAACATCTTGTAATCTCTTTTCGAGTTCTTGTTTTTTCTCAGCGAATTGTTCGTCTTTTGACTTACCACTAACTTTTTTATCTGTAAAAACAATATTTTCATTTAGCTTTTATGGATGCTGCATTCATAAATTATTCATGTTAGCGTAATACTAGAAAATTGATTCTAACCAAATTGTAAAATAAATTATTTTTAATTTTAACTTATTAACTTCTGGGATATTTATAAATTAATGAATGTTTAATAACCAGTTGAAATGTTCATTAATGATTTATGAAATAAAAAGTTTTACGCAAATGGAGGAATAGAGATGAGTAAAGCTTCAATAACATGTGTACTGTTTAACTTACGTGGTTTTTTACGAAGACAAGAAGCTACATAGCTCTCCAATTCTCTCAGCGTCGAGGGCTTCAAAGTCTCAAAATCGATTTCTATTTCATCTGGATTAGAGTCTCGGAGTGATGGTTCACGAGACTGTATGATGGTTACTACACGACCAAGCTTGTCCCCTGCTTAGAAACGAATCACGTTACAAAATGAAAAGAAATGGTAAAAAAAAAAGCAGTTATTCAATTTGTTTCATCTACTGCTAAGTCTAATATTTATGATGCACACTTAATTTTAAAACTAATTAATTCTTATATTTGTTTTTAGGAGAAATATGACAATATTGTTGATAGTTTAGCATATAGTTTTAGAGCTATCAGAAGTAAGAGGTCTACCTCCAATATCCTAATATTATAAAGATTAATTAAAACGTTCAATATTAATGAGTTAGTCTAAACAAGTGAATCTACTCCTAAGAAATCATATAAATATTTTTTTTCCCCCGGTCTAATCTAAAGTACGAAAATTTTCCGCTAATTTTAGGCTTTAATGAGAAAAAAAAACAGTTTTATTAACTGGTGCTGATATAGTTTTTTAACAAAACTCATTAAAGCCTCGCCTTCGACTCGTGCTGTAATCTCTCGTTTTGCTAAAAAACCCCCAACTACGCCTGTTCAAAAAGATGTCATACTTGTTATTCGTTCTTAACAATTATTACTCAAGTTTTTACCATAAAATTAATTCGGAAAATATCATAGATAAACACAAACACTGTGGTTAGTTTATATTATTATCAGCTAAAAAAAAAATTATAAGCCTTTTCTTATTTTACACAACATACCCGGTAGCTTATTGATATCCAAGCTAAGTTGTCTTTTTTCATCGTAAGACATAGGTTTGGCATTATCTTCGTCTTCGGAATCAAATATCGAAGGAGGTGGTTGATTGGCAGCATTTTTCCTCTTAGCACCAGTTGAACGATTTGTGGCTTTTGGACGTTTATTCAAATTTGTTGCTGTGGCTTTGCCGGGACCTCGTGTTTTGGTAGCTTTAGATCCTTTAGTAGCACCGGCAACAGCAGCTGTAGCCGCATAATGAGCAGCCGCAGCTGTCGCGGCAGCAGAGCTTGGGGGTAGATGGTGGCCTACAATTTGAAATACACAATGAGTTATGTAGAAATATAAACAAAATACTTTAATGATAATAAAATCAAATATTTTATATACCTGCTCCAAGCGAAACGTTAGCTAAACTTGTACCAACGCTATCAGAAACTCCTCGGATACCACCTACTGGCTTCATTAAGTCTTTTGAGTTATGTCCCATCATCATAAGATCTTTTGTATTCATTGATCTAATTTTGGATTTATCAAGCTTCTTCCGCTTTTTCTTTTTCGTTCCGCTTTGTTCTACGAGCTTGCGCATTTCTTCTTGCATTGTCAGCAGATTGTGTTGCAGAGCCCGTAATTTTTGAGTTCTTTCTTCATCAGAATCATCACTATCTGACGATTCATCAGATTCTGAACTACTTCCGCTACTATCAGATCCTTTCATATCGTCAGCATCCATGGGTTCATCGGGAATTTTGGCATAACGCATTTCAAATACATCATGCAATTTCTTAGCCATGGCAACTACATCGTGATCTGGAGGATTGTACTTATAACAGTTGGTGAATATAAGTCTGATATCGGCAGCGAATTCAGCAGCTGTATTATATTCTCGGCGATCCATTTTATTTTTAACAGTTCCCATGTCCATAGGTTTTTTTATAATTTCATGATAGTCGTGTAGGCCCAATAGTTCTGCATCAACTGGTTTGTAAAATGGCCATGCATACAGAGCATGTTTTTTTCCAAACATTTCTTTTAAAATATCATTGCAAAGTTTTAAATTATCAGACAATTTAGAATTTCCCTTAGTCGTTGCAACCTGAAAATTGAATTTATTAGTATTCTGTTCAATTACAGCTAAAATGCGACATTTATTTTAATGAGATGAAGTATGAAATTTTATCTAAATTAAATTCCCTTCAATAATGTTAAAAACAATTAAAGCAATCGAAAGTATCTGTACCTGTTGGCCTAAAGTACCCATGAGAGGCATGCTAACTTGATGAAATGGCACCAGGCCGTCTTCCGCCTGCCTTGTTGGCTGCAAAAGGCCGCCATTAACCAAATGTTAGTTTTATATATAGTTAAAATGTTAAATTAACATGCAAAATGTAATGCTTATCGCCTAATAATTGATGGCATATCTTTTAAATTATTGAATGATCAATTATAATGGTGTAAGCAAAGATGAATAATTCTGTGAACTTATTGAAGTTTGAAAATTGACTTTGAAAATGTTATTGTAAAAATGTAGATTTGATATGAGTCAAATGGATCTTTTAAGCACATAATGAATAATATTTCTTCTTAAAAGAATGAACAAAAATAAAAATATCCACACATTATTCAAAGAGATAGCGTGATCAGCTTAAAGATCAAATCTTCAATTCTGTTTTTAAAACTTCTTCTAAATATTTGTCAAAAGTTTATGTTCTCTTGTGTACCATAGAACTTTTTTGAGAAATATTCAATTGAAGATTATGATGTTGAGATTGAAATTTTGATTGTTTGGGCTGGTTTTAGCATTAATTTAATTTTTTCATTCAAGATCAGCAAATTAAACACATTTATTTTATATTTCTTTTATGTATTATAATCTCAAAATTTCTTTTGAGTCATATGGACTTACCTTTTTCACTTGTCGACCAGAACGGAGGGGTACTTTGGGAGTTATTTTCGGCTCTGATGCATATGATGAATCAAATGCGTTAGCAGGTGTCGTTGTATCAGCTTTTCTTTTAACACCCTTTTTAACTTTGGCTATGTGAGAGGGTGTCATTACAGCAGCAGATACTTGTGCAGGTCCAAGAACAGCTGTTTCGAGTCCAGTAGCTGCTTGAGCATGATAACCAGGACCTGGTGGGACAACTTGTGCTGGTAACGAATTGTGAATAGCCATGGGTGTAACCCCTGGAATTCCAGCTCCTGGCTGAGGCGCTATTGCATTAGAACTGGTAGTAATTGGCATTATCGGGGTTTGAGCACCTACTGGTGGCATAACATTAGAAGCTCCTGCTAAGCCAGCCGCAGCAGTCGACTGTGTAGCCGAAGGTGGCATTACAGACATATTGTTTGCCATACTTGATGATACTGTAGTGACCCCAGCAATACTACTAGGTGGTCTTCCTCGACCTCCAGCACCTGCAACTCCTACTCGCCCAACAGGCCTTTTGCCTTTTGGGCCTTTACGAGCAGGGGGATCCAGTTCAACTTCATCTTTTGGCATTTGGGCTATCTGTAATCACGAAAAATGATAGAAAAAATTTTCATTAAAGAATTTTGTTATCCAATAAGCAATTGGGGATTTAAAAAACTTATTTTAAATGAATGTTTACCTTTGTTAGATACAGCTTTTCTAAAGCTTGAGCCATTACTACAACATCTTCACCTGGCTTATTGTATATGTAGCAATTTGTAAACATGGTATTGAAATCCTGAATACATTCTTTACTACTCCAATAATAATTATTTTCAAGTCTCTTCTTTATTGTACCCAAATCCATTGGATTTTTAATAATTTTATAATAATCCGGTAAGTTGAGTTTGTTTACATCTACAGGCTGTTGAAAAGGCCAAGCAAATTGATGTTTCCATACTGGTTTGAAAACAGTTTTGGATATATACTGCAACTGATTTGTCATTCGCCCTGGTCTATCAGGTGGTGGTATAAATGGTGGCTGTACAATGCCATTAATAACTTCCAGAACAATATCTTCATTATTAGCTGGTGCATTATCATAAGGTGGAGGCAAATTACCACTGGCCAATTTAGGTGGTGCACTTGTCTGATCGTCAAAATCATAATGCATTAGCTGGAGTGGTTAAGATATCATTTTAATTTTCTTGGTTTTCCAGAAATATTAAGTTTAAATTTATAAAAAGTGTAATGTGTAAATAAAAATGAATTTTCTAAATTTATAACTGTAATAATTACTGTGAATGTATGAATTTTTTAGAACGAGTAAGTAGTTTAAAAATAAATAAAGAATCAAACAAGCGGTGTATATAGTACTTTGAAAAATATAACCATTTTTTTTAAAGAAAAAAAAAACTAAAATTACTAAAACATAAAAAAAGTACAGATAAAAATGGAAAAGAAACATGCATACATTATCATAACTCAATCAAAAATTTTAAGAGATTTCACTGATTTAATAATTAGAGAAAAGACAAAAATATAAAACATCAGTTATTGATAGAAGCAAATACATTATTCAATTTTTTGTCAACATTATCTAAAATTTCATAGTTGTCAGGCTTCTCACCTTCTGTAAGTTTGAGAGCCTGTCTCGCTCTTCGACATGTAACTCATGTAATTCATACATTCTATTCAGTCAATTAGGGACAAGAATATACAAAATTTTCAAATCTGACTTTTAAAAGAAATTTGACTGTTATTTAAATATTTTACTGCCAATCTAACAATCCTAGAAGCAGTATTGTGATGCAAAACTGAGCTATATCTAAAAATGTTCAAAGAAAAAACTTATAAGCCAAGGTCAAAAGTCAAAATTTGCTTCATTTGATGCTTTACCTAATACTATTAATGTCAAGAATTGATGTAACTCATACTCATTGTAAGATTTTTTCATTAAATGAAATTAACATGCTATTTTTTTAGCAAAATATTTTATAGGACCAATGTTATTTTATTGTCAAACTCCTAATTATGAGAAATTATTTTTTAACTTTGAACAAGAAATTTTTTATTTGCATGAAAAATTTAAAACAATATCAATTAAAATTTTTCCATAAAAATGATACTTTAAAAATAGCATTCTTATTTAAAATTGCCATTTTTTTGGAGTAATTGCAAATGTTGAATGTACAAACAATTGACATTGAAAAAAAGAGTGAATTGAAATAATATTTATAATTCAAGTAATGTTTCAAAAGTACTTACTGCATTATGCAAAGGGGCAGCAGAATTTCCCTGCTGCATTGTGGGCGTCTTACTGAAAATTATAAGTAAAAAAATTTGATTAAAAATAAGTCATACTTTGGTATATGATTAATATTATTAGCAATAATTATACTTTTTCAGATATGCTCAACTCAAATCACCTTTCTGACATAAACTGTACATAAATGCTTTGCAATAGATAGTTGATAAAAATTTATTATTGGCTTGAAAAGTTGTCATCAACAATCTAGGTTTTTTTCGAACAAAGTAAGATATTTCAGTAAATCTTTGTTATGTTGAATAATCCAAGAAGTTAACTGATGCAAAATCATAACATTGTGCAAATCTACCAAAAGGTAGTTACTTGAACGTCAGCGATGCATATGTTTTCTCATACTCCAAATCAGCATTAATGAATCTGTGAACATCTTTACATAAATGAAATCTCAAATGAGTATATACGAAAACTCAAAATTTTGTAAGAATATTCTACAATTTGTTCTAAATCTACTTTTGATTCAATTTTCCAAAAGTTAATCTTAAATGAAAGATCAAAACTACCTAAATGTTAAATCTCGTGACACTGTTTAAAACTGTTAAATAATCAAGGAATAATATTCTATCTAAATTCAAAACTTATTTACTTTCAATTAAAAAAGAAAATTTCGGATTATTGATGAGGCTGTAAAAGGTAATTTAAAATTTGAATAATAAAACTGCATTTATCATCGTAGACATGAGTGTATTGATGTAAAAAATATTATAGAACCATGATATCGAATTCAAAGGGTAGAATCTGAAATTGCAGACCACTTATATGAATAATCACATTCACAGTCAACTAAAAAGTTTATACCAACACGAGTGTAAGTGTTGAGTAAAACAGAGGATGCGCGGGATGAGCAATTACTCTTAATAGAAGGTGGACCTGTTCCTAGATGGACCGAATCGATTGATGCATAATTTTAGTTATTGATTCTAAACCCAAAATGTAAGCAATAACATTAAAATGAACTTGGCACGAGTCTGGAAGTTAAGGCGCGAAGCCTCTTATCTTGTCGGCACGGGATGAGAGACCCACACGAGCATATATACACACATCAATGCACACTGCACTAAAGAAGCTCAAACGAGTTGCATAAAAAAAGTACAGGACGCACCAGACGTTCGCTGACTTGGAAGCTATGGCTCGAAGACGATGTAGCTTATTTCCACGATGTGGCAAATTCTGTATACACAAGAGAGCAAAGGGTAGCGAGCGAGAAAGAGATAGCAGTTCAGAAAGCGTCGATGCAAGCAAAACTTCTCAGCAAGCAGGCATTCAACATGGCGCCGTACAAGCGACAGAGAGGCTGCTTGCTTCGGTCGCGGGTCGCTCGTTGGCCTGATGCTTCGGCTCTGGTCCGCACGCACCGCGCAGTGTTAGTCACATATACCGCCAGCAGCAGCACGCGTCTCCCCCTCTTTGCTGCGACTCTCGAGCTCGATCCCAAGTCCCGCCGCGACTCGTACGGCGTTTACCAGATATCCCGATTCGCGTACTACCTCTGAAAGCGCGACGCGTTAGCCTCGGCGTATGCCGCCCATGCTGTGTGGAATTACCCGCGAGTATATATATATATATATATATATATATGTAATACACAGATATTGGTATATACATGTGTATTATATACACACACGCACACGCTTTACAGTTAAAAGCGTCACATCGTCCATCAACCAAATGGATGTTTATGTTTTTGTATAGAAAACACGTGTTGAAGGGAGATCGAGAAAATAAAATTTTTTTCCGCACATTCAAACTTAACACATGCAAAGAGAAGGATAAAGTTTACTAGCTTTTACATCTGCATACTATGCATACTATGAGACGGTAGAAGCGAAGGTAACTGTGGCTGCAACCGCGGCGACTTTTTTTGCTGGCTTAATCGTATACTAGGTAGTTTCTCGACGCACGAGACTAATTAAAATTACAATCCATGCGGTGCACACGACAATAAGTTAAGAGAACATTTGGACTACTCAAAATATATCTATTAACCTACGTAAGACGAATGTGTGACTGTTCTCGTCATTGAACAGGAGTTAATTGTCGAGCTTATACATACGTGTAGGCGTGAGTTGCGCGCGCCGTCAACAGTGAATGTTGTACGGAACGAAGTATTTTATATATTATATATTATACATATATATATATATATAAAAGTTGTGTGGGCTGAAGACTGGGAGGAAAAGAGACAGAGAGAAAGAGAGGAAGAAAGATGGAAAGAAAGAAAATGAAAAAGACGCGCCAAGACACGTATCTATGGCATGAGCATAGCACTTCGAGTTTGATAGGCTATGTCCACAATAAAAATCTCTGCATTCATGCGGAATTTTCTGGATTGTAACTATGAATATTAATCATTAAAATGGAAAATATTTTGCAAAAAATGTAATTGCAAACGAAACTCTAATTTAAACGTTTTTTATCTATGATGCATGAAAATTTATCAATAACTTATTAAAAAAAAAAAATAAATAAAGCCGATGGGCAAAAAAAGAACAAGACATTGGTGTGAACCAACTTCATTCGACCGAGAATCACATATTTTATAGGTGAAACAGAAAAAAATTGCAGTTCGGATACTGTTGTGAACAAACCCATATGAAGCTGAATGAGTCTGCGCGCGAGATTGAGAGTGCACAAGATAGGCCCAGAGCGTATGTGCGCGACGTTGCCACTCGCGCCTGGTGTCTGCCCCGCCGCACAGTTAACCAGCCGCATTGCACCGAGAAAACTCCTCCGCTCCACTATAGCCGAACACGCGCCACTCTTTTTTCATATCGCACACGCTTTGATGCTACACAGCATACCCCCTTTTTTTCTCTGTTCATATCGTTCTCTTAAATGTCTATGCTATATGGGCAGTGCGGATTTGTGTATTTGACATGTATATATGTTTTTTCTTTCAATAATACACCGTCTCCCTCCTTCGTTTAAGCGCGTGCTGCTTTATGCGCGGGAAACAAGGCGACCATTTGATATTTCGCGCGAATGACGCTAGGGTCCCTCATGCCGGTTGTTTCTGCGCCGGCCGTCTTTGTATATATGTTTTCAAATCATTAAAGGATTAGAGGAATTTCAATAATCCGAGTGTTTACCTTAAAATCATGTGGTGACGCGCGGAACAGCGCACCAAGGTAATTGTAATTGAGTGAGATATAAATTCAATAGAAACCTTTTTTATTAAATATCTATGCTACTTGTTATATATAACACCTACACTGAAATACTTAATATGTCACTGAAATCATAGTTACATAAGTTACTTAACATAGTTACTATTTCAATTACAAAAAAATCAAATACTGCTAAGGCAACGTTAAAGTATTCTCTTCGGATGCCGTAAACACATCTACACGTTTGAATAAGAAAAATAGTGTACCGCGCTGGTATATGCAGTTCTCAGTTTGAAGCTCATTGCCTACCATAATAAACACGTGGTTCACCCTTAAAGATCTCAGTAAGTCTCTAACAGGTGTTTATAATTTTTATACCAGCGGCCCGAACGTGACTACTTCCCTGCCGCTGCGCAAAGCGGGAAGAGCGATTTTCGGGCAACTGTTTGTGAGAAATAGTATACAGACCTATGCCGCGAAAAAAGAAAGCCCCAGAGCACGTGTTTATCGGCCTCGGCGACTAATTACACGTACTTTTGGACTTTTCTGTTTTTCGTGGCCTAGGGCAGTAACATACTATTGATTAAATAACCTAACTATACAAGAGTGGAAGAGTGGATAACTATACAATCTTTATAAAATATATGTAAAAGGTACTTTACCAGAACTGGTCCGTTTAATTTAGTTAACTCTGTAGTCTGTCGTGAAAAATTGGTCTAGAAACATGTGGATTCGATCGAAATGGTAGCAACTTTAAATTAAATACACTGTTTAATTTCACTTGATATTTGCAAAATTTATACCAATTCGAAAATTCGAACAGTGTCGCAAGTCACAAAGTCACTTTTTCTGGTTTGCTTTAATTCATGATTGTAAACACTAACAGTAGCGTCGGGCAAGCTGCATGCTTGAGCTCAGAGCCGACTCGCGACTGCTGAGCAACTAAAGCCTTTGAAATAGCTATAGTCTTCAAGAATACAAAAATATAAGTCAGTGGTGGGTGGTCTCCAATTTCTAACACATTTGAAGTAGAGTAGGGATAAACTATGCTATCTCTTTCTTTCTTATGGTACAAATTATTCCAAGTGTATTGGCTGAGCTCTGATGTAGATGAACTTTTGAAAGCTTAATGTCTATTTTGCAAGCTACAGCTTGCGAATCATAACAAAGATTTGCTTGAATTTTTCGCACACAGGTCGCGTGATAATGATACACAATTCGCAATGCGGCGGCGCGTAATATACACAGATGCTCGTGTTCACGCATGCGTGTCGCATGGAAGCGACGGTGCGGGCTACGGCGGCAACTGCTTACGGCAGCGTCTTGCACGTGCGGGGGTACAGACCAAAGAGAGAGAGAGAGAGAAAGAAAAAGAAAAAGAGAAAGAGACAGAAGGTAGAGGGGGGGNGGGGGGGGGGGGGGGGAGAACGCGGGTGAGAGTGTGTGTGTGTGACGTGGTGTCCGCGTAGCTTAAGGAGGGGCTCGCTATAGCGGCGCTACGGCGTACATATAGCGAGCAGCGGATGGACGGTCATGCGCACAACGCAAGTTGCAAGGTGAAAGGCATTTCCTTCGTGGAGTTGGACGTTATACGAATGTTCTAGAACTTTCTTGCGATCGCTTCTCTATCTGTTCGTCTCTTTCTCTCGCTTACTCTAAAGTCTTAACAGGTTATGCTATGCCCACTCAGATATATCTATCCATCTCTTTTTCTCTTTCTCAAACCCGCATTAGACTCGAGCTCGATTCCCTGTTACGCGATGTACATAAATTTTAGCCCCCAGGATTCACGAGATGCACACCCAATCGATAATGCACATCAGATAAAGTTCTACTTTTATTTAAATCTTTATTATTTATTGATTTTCTTTTTTTTGAGACGACAACTACTTACAAGGACATCGACGTGTTAACTGCTCTCTTGCGACGCTGACGTGGGCACTAGCAACTGACGCCAGACTCGGTGGTGTCGGCCATTTTTATACGGCCTCTGAAATGACTACGCAAGTAAAACGAACAGAATCCTGTAGAAATGCATAAAAAAATGCCAGAAAAATAATTGACGAGCTCGTTTGCCGCATAAAATACTAAAAGTAGAAATAGGAAGTAGTTCAGCACACCGTGAAAATTGAAAAGAATTACATGCTCGAACTATTTATTACACGTGTCACGAGATTTCACTATCTTAGGATCAATAAAAGAGGCGTAATATGTATAGTTTGGTCGTGTTTTGCGTTGGAAAAAATGAACATCGTAGCTTGATAAATAGATTGATCAGCGTTTATTAAAAAATTTTCTTTCATTTATCATCTATATGTATATATGTGTGTATATATAAATAAATATAATCCTCTATACATATAAGGTATATGTATATATGTATTTACGTACATACACACATATATACATATATAAATATATATATCAAAAGATAGTAATTTTATATAGGTATATGTATGTTATATGTATATACTTTTTAAGGCTTTTACAGAACGTGTTGCAGCGACCAGAGACAGATTATTCTTGATATAACATATTGCATTGAGATGAGGCCAACAGCAGTTCTTTACGTGTAAATTCACTTCCTGCTTAGGACAACTCTTTGCAATAATAACTCACACTTATCGCGGTTAAACAACGACTAATTACGACTCGAAACACGAGACTAACGATATTGAGAGCGATTTCAAGACGGTTATGTGCACCTTAACTTTATTCCAACTGACCACGTCAACGAATTTCAGAAATTTTTCGAGCAGTTCACCGTTAAGTGATGACGCGACACACTTTCCATATGTTACACTGCTGCGCAGTTAAAAGTACGTAGAGGGAGAGAGCGTACGTAGCACGGCTTCTTGCGTTTCTCGGCGGCTATAGCACGCGTACACGATCTATACTCTAACGACACGACTATTCACCAATATTTGATCATGAAATGAGTCTCAAAATTTTTTAAATATTAAACTGCACCAGTTGAGCACTAATTAATGCACACGAACGACCGGTTACTGGGAAAATTCATGAAAACTCGCCAAGCGACCAACGTACACGACTGTGCGAGATGAGAGGAAGATGGCTACCGCCGCACGAGCAGGGGCCTCGGCCCGACGATGGACGAGACACACACCCATGATTCGGGTGTTCGCTGCTTTAGACCTCGGTGTGCGATCGTCGGAGTGACGGCCTCGGCAGCGGCCACGGGACTTAAATGTTGACAAAATAATTCAGTCCGTAGGCTTCTTCTATGATCTTATGTTCGCGAGTCAAAGTCTCGGATTTATTTGCACTTCTTTTACCAGGGCTATTCGTTACATTTTTCCCCCATCATGCTCGCGCTTGGCGTCGGAAACATTCGCGCGCCGCAATTCTCGCGACGTCTGCCGAGAGCAGTTTGTAGGCGCATGCGCGTTACAAAAAGTACCACCATTCGCGACTGGCTTCGGCTTGTTATTATATAGATAATATCGCAACGTAACCGTTGACAAAAATATACGCTATCGACTACACTAGTCAGTGCAAATAACGCACACGATTATCCATCGAATTTTGTACGCATACTCCATCTATCGAGCTCTAGTGGAATTTTTCATGCGTAGCTGAATTTAATTTTGAGTAGATTTGAGAATCAGAAATAAGAAACAGATTTTCAATTTTACATTCATTTTTACTATGAACATATGTACAATACGTTAGATTTATAAAATCTATAACTATTTATGCAAAAATAAACGCTTATAACACTAGCTATACATTTTCAAAACAATTCTTTGAAATTAATTATAACTCATTAAGTTAAACTATCCCCCATTTTTCTTCAAATCCTGAGCAAATTTTACTACAAGTTATAGCAGCAGAAAGTGGATAGTTGCTCACTGAGACTGTGTCTTCGGCGTAACTCGGTTCAATCTAGAATTAAAAATTTATTTAATTGTTACATAAATTGTATTTAATTTAAAAAAAAGTAAACTCACTTGACCATGAGCCATAGCTCCTATGACAATTGCAATAGGCTCATCAGATGGTACCAAATCACGTGGATTGACTACTTTTTTAGCACTGAAAGACATGGCAATTTTTTGACAGCCTACAGGTAAATGATCCGTAATTGGATTCTTTATAATTTTGAGCAATTTAACTTTTCCCTCTGATGATTTGACATGATATTTGTGAAGTAATTGTACTGTAAACAATAATCAAAATCAATTAAATGTTCTGTCTATAAAAAAGATACTCACATATGAGCCATGAAATTAAGGTAATTGATTGTTTTATTTACCCATTAAACCAGCAAAGCGTTTAAATGTCCTTGGTATCCTAGTTTGAGGATTTACTTCAATCAGCACATTTTTTTCTGTATGAATATAAACTTGCAGCAAGCCTGCTCTATTTAAAGGACTATCCATAAGCATTAAAAGGCACTGATGAGTTATATCTGGACGACTACTGCCAGGTTCACGATTACTTTTTTTTAAAATATGTGCATGGTCATCGCAGTTCAACAATTGAAAACTGTTATTAACCTGCAAAAATTAATTATTTACGATAGTTAAAAATTAATCTTAAAATAATTATTAAAATTGGCTTAAAATAAAATCAGAATTATAGTGAGGTATCTAATTTTCTTTATAATTATAAATTTTAATTTCCATGTAAAATACAGTTTGAGTAACCCTTACGTCCTACATGACGTAATATCAATAAATTGAATTACATTATTTCTTCTGTAATTTTATCATATGATTTGATAATCATTCAATAATTAAAAACAACAAAAAAATCTAGATTTTTTAAAAATTATTTGCAAAAATAACAGTTCCGACTTAATATTAATGTTAATCACAGTAGTTGCATAAAAAATATTTACATACCTTTACAGATTCCAATTGAGCTTTTTCTAAGATAACTATCAATCTTTTGTCTTGTTTTTGTTTTTTTATTGCATTTTTCATAAGATGTTGAGGCAATTTCGTGTCAAACTCTTCTTCAGCAGACCTTTTTGAATTAGCTTTTGGCATTTTGAACTAAGTTAATGTTATTTGCAGAAAAGATATAATAAGGGTTAGAAAAATGTCATGAGGTAGAAAATGTACATGTGGTCTGGTATTTTTCGCTCGTATTATGGGCTATGGTGTAAAGTACTAGTGGCGCTCTGATGCTAGAGTTCAGAAATCTCAATTCCTACTTTACCAATAGTACAAGAACCGCCACTTTCAAAATAATATAGTATAAGTGTTAAAAGTCACGAAAAGTATACTATTGAATGAATTCAAAGTAACTTAAGAGGACATTTCATCTCTAAACTAATAAAATATATAATTTTTTGAAGGTTTATTTTTAATGGAAGAAAAAGTCAAATCTAAATCAAACTTTTTACACTTACTTTAACAGCCTTAAAATATATGAAAGTTTTTTTTTAGTTTTTTAGCGGTCTCGGGTCGTCTCTTACGACTATTTTTTTGAAACAGCATTTTTCAAGTTGGCCCACACAATTAAAGAAAAGCTATTCATTTTATCATTCTGAAATTCTGACGAAATACTCTGCACAAGTTTCTGCTCAGAATGAATAATAATGGAAAAAAATATTTTTATCGACACAATATTTTTAGAGTTAAGTGATAAACAATTTTCAAAAAAAATGTCGATTCTCAAAAAAATGATGCCATTTCGTTATTTTTTAACCAAAGTTTTTCATTCTAATTCATTCTGAGCAATAACATGAGCAGATTGTTGCCTTAAAATTTCAGAACAATAAAATCAACGATTTTCTGAAGTAATTGTAGCAGACGACATTGGGTGATAAAAAATAAAATAAAATTTTTTTGATGTAGTATGGTCAATGAAGTATGTGCAAAAAGTTTCATTGAACTAAATTTTTTTCTTCCATTAAAAAAAATCTCTTAAAAAAATTTTTTTTCTAATTTGGAGGGGCAAGGTCCTCTCTTAATTTATGATCGTTGCAAAATTATCTTCATATCCAGTGGCCTGAAAATCGCTCTTCCCGCTTTTTGCATAGTGAGGGAAGTAGTGGAACGTTGTATGTATAAGCATAGGAATTCCGGTGTTCCAACGATCGCTGGTATGAAAAATAGCGTACAGGCCTAAGCCGCGAAAAAAGCAAGCCCCAGAGCGAGTATTCAACTAATTACAAAAAAAATTGTCCGTTTGTACGTCTGTCTGTCTGTCTGTATGAATATAATCTGTGGTAGTATTTTCCCTACTCTCAAATTTGGCACTCTTATCCTGTCCCTCTCCTCCATCACTTTCATTTTCTAATTTCCGTTTCTCAAGGGTTATTTTGGAGATAAATTATAAACTCTTGGGTTATTTGCAATTTGTAATTGTTGGTCTATTATGGTTGATAGAGATACTTGAATAATAATTAACTTTTCAAGTTGTTGCATTGAAAATGATAAAACTATATATGGTTGATTCTCCCGAAATCTGCTTTTTCGGGTATGGAAAACGAAAAAATGGTAAAAATTTTTTTGTCATATTGAACGGCGCGAACTAGTTTACCCTTTTTTAAACCATAAAATATGAATAATTATTGAATCTGGGGCTTTGAGATTTCGTTTTACGAAAACTATGTCCGATTTTATGCTTAAAATCGACTATTTTCGGTTACGGAGGTGACACACACGGAGGTGACAAATCGCTGCTTTGATCAACTATGTAAGAAAAATAAGAAACGCACAAAATTTTCCGCACAACCCGAAATTCGGTCATGAAAAACGAGTCTTTTAACGGGGCGAGCGGTTAAAAAGAATGATCATAGCTCGAGATATTCATGTCCACGGAGGTGACCGTTTTTTTGACGCACGTGAATTTTTCAATAGAATAATTATCGCAGCATCGATAAAATGTAAAATTTGAACCCGCAACCTACACCAATCGAAAGCTGGGTTATAATACTTGCCATTTACGTACCTAGCGACATCAAAAATGAGTTAGCGACCCAAAGCAGGCGGTATGTTTGAAATTATTCAGAAGCATGATTAAAATCCGAGACATTTTTCAATTGCGTGGGAAATTTTTTTAAAACATTTTTCAAACCCCTAAAATAGACTTAAACTTTGCTCTGGATGTATAGAAGCTGGTCTCATAGTTATTATAGGGTCAGGTGCTAATGAGAATGCATGGTACATGCAAATAGAGTTGATTTTGAGATGTAGACATGCCACGGAGGTGACATTTGGCATGTATATCTTCACGGCAAATTTAACTGACCCTAAAAAATTGAAATATTTATGTCCTATCATGAAGAATACAACAATATTGAATGAATGACCGAGCCAGTTTTGGCTCATCTTCACTAGTTTAAGAATATGGCATAAAGACATGCAAAAAGCAGATTTCAGGAGAATCAACCATATAAGTATAAAATTATGATTGGATTCAAAAGTTCTAAAAAATTTATTCACAAACATTTATAGTATCCAATAGTCTTTTAAGTAATTGTTTTTATGGAAAGGCTCGTTAAATATGATAAACCTGCAAGTACTCGATAATGGCGTGCTTTTATTTAAATAGATAGTAATTAAAATTACATTTTGATAGGATTTATTATTTTTTCACTCTTTGCAACATTAAATTTTCAGAGAAAATTTTTAGCTGCTCTTATAAATTATCAAATTTGTTTTCCATGGTTCTACACCTAACGGACAATACACTAAAATAGGCCTTTCGGTATTTGACTACTTGCAATCAATTCCCATAATTTCCATGTAACTATTTTAACTCAATTTTCACGAACTTATACATTTGAAGGCATAAGATGAATATTCTAATTTTCTACTGTTCAAGAAAAATTCACCTTTTACTTACTCATAGAAAATACCCATAACGTCCAAAATGCTTTCCGCAGTGCAAAATGCTGTAAGTTTTTTCAAATGATCACACACACTTGACCAAAAAAAGTGGTAAGACTTTTAAAAAAGTTATTATAGCCAAACAATGAGAATCGTACATTTTTGACCACCCTACTAAGCCGTCAATGATCCTGAACTAAAAACTTGGTTACATTTTTATTTTCGAGTTCTGAAATAATTGTAAATCAAACGTACTTTACTTTAATAATACTCAAAAATGTAACTATTATGTAATCATTTAATTTTAAGCCTATAACACAAACATGAGATAGTCCAAAATAGAGAAATGATTAGGAACATTTATGAATAAAGTCTGCAAGAATGAGTCCATATCGAGTCAATTGGGGACAAGATGATGTTTCAAGTTGATATTTGAACGCCCATTTGAATGGCCATATTAATCGAAATAGTTGACATTTTTTTTCTTAATAGTAATATTTGTTGATACTACACCTGATTGCCAAAAACTACCCAAGCTCTGAAATTCTTATTACATTACTTTTTTCATAATACCAAATATTGTGTTATAAATATTGTATTATCACTTGCTGCATGATCCTGAAGCGAGTTCTTCATCAATTTTAATCTATGGGGTCTCAAAATCTTCAGAAAAGTATTTTCTTACCCTGAAACGAAGCAGAATTTGGAAAAATGGTAAACAACTTAATGTACAAGTCAAAATATGACAAATTTTAAGAAAATCAATGTTTTGTCAACGTTAAATGCCACATTTAAGCTCTTGGAAGAGAAGCAAACATTTTTTTCAAAATTGTGCTCCAGTTAAGTGGAAGAGAGTAATTTTCTGCATACTTTGAGACCCCATATATATATCAATATTTATGAAGAATTCAAGTCAGATTCGCGGGGCCAGTCAAAGTGTAATATGAATATATTTTACTATCTATTATCTAAAAAAAAAATGTTCAAGTATTTTGAATTATAACGCCGTTTTCAAATATCAATTTTTCTATTATTTAAATTTCTCAATTAAACGCGATGTACTAATGTTTATTTGGTTTGCTGGTGTTTTTTGGTAAAAGAAATATCCGTAATCTTCGAAACTTTTCACGTGGAGAATTCTTACTTTGTCTATTGGTAAATAACTGATCACACCGATCCCTCTTGAAACTATTAACGATCTTTTTTATTTTCTTCATTAATCGAAAGAAGATTCGTTTAAAATTCAGTATTTTTTAAATATAATAAACTACGTAACAAAATTATTGCAAAAAAAAATTTCATCGAAATTTCGTCAATTTTCAAATTCTTCAATCTTCGTCTACTTTCATCATATCGAGACGAATTTTTATTGTTATTTTTTATTTTTTGGAAATATTGTCTTCATCATGTATATTATAAACGCATTGAAGTCAATATCGAGTTAACAGTATTATTTGAGTGTAACGCTAAAGATTACTGAAAAAAATGATTGTTTAAACGTGTCCATGGAACACAGTAATTTGTTTATCAAAATCTGAAGATGAAAGCATTTGAAAATTGACGGTATTTCGATCAAATTTTTTTGTTGCAATAATTTTATTGCGTAGTGAATTATTATATAGACTCAAACGGCGGTATGGATTATCTTGTAGTTAGTTAATATTACTGGCTTAAAATTTCAATCCATACATTGAGTGATGCAAATCAGATTTTTTCTCTCTCTCATTAATCATGATGATTATATACTAAAATTTTAAGTGCTCAAAGGGGGCTTAAAATAGAAAAAATTGTTATTTCTTTTTCGATTAGGATTTTTGTCCCCTTCCCATTGCATTTTTTGAAACTTCAAAATTTTGATCATTCACTGAGATACAATTGTTTCCGTGAACCGTTTTCGTGTACTTTGCGTGTTAAATTTTTTCTTTTTTGCCTTTTCTGGCGTTTTACGTTTTTAAAAAGTGCACCTCAGTTGTCATAACATCCAGAGCGTACAGATTGAGTTATCGCCCCAGGGTCGCGCACACTTCTTCAAATCATGCAATGGTTACTGTCACAACCTCGGGCGAGGTGATCGAACTCATAAGTCACTTTCAATCAGTAGATTCGTGATGGAGGTCACAAAAAAAAATTGTGCTTCAGTGTTTGTGCAGGGTGACTTGGTTGTGACCGTAACCACAGATGTTCTGAAGAAGTGTACGCTACTCTGGTGCTGTACCTCAATCGGTACACTCTGAATGTTATGATTACTGAGGTGCAATTTTTAAAAACGTAAAATGATCAAAATTTTGAAGTTTCAAAAAATGCAATGGAAAGGGGACGAAAAATCCTACTCGAAAATGAAATGAAATTTTTTTCGATTGGAAGCCGCCTTTGAGTTCTTTAGCTTCTTTTGTGTCTGTCCTCGCGATAATTTTAAAATTCATATGTCCGAGTCTTTATCGATACATTATTATGAAACTTCTTAGTTTTTTTAAAAGAACCTTTTTGTTTTACAATATGTACTGAATGATTTTATAACATGACACATTCAGTTTTTTTCACTCATTGTAAATTTACCGAAAGCTCAGCAATACATTCAAGTTCAAGTTCAAGTCATTACACAAGTGATGGAAATTATTTTTTGAAAAATGATATTTTAAAAACAAAAAGCTCAATCAATTTGAAATTTTTACACGTTGAAGTTTGTCCATTAGAAAAGATGTAAAAAAATTTTCAGATAAAAATATTGAAAATTCTTAATTTTCCATCAGTTTTCCTCGGTCATCCTGTTGTCCTGCGGTAGGCAGGATATTTCCTGACAGGATCATCGGTAACCAAAAATTCGACATATTTCTTAAAGATTGTACCCTTGGCTAGTGATTGATCGAATGAAAAGAGAAAAAAATGAAATTTGATGAATTAACACGAGTTTGAATGCATTTTTGCCCTGATTTTTAAGCATTTTTCAAATTTTCACCATTTTTCCCAACTAAATTTTATTTAAAATAACAACGAGTCGGCCGATCGAAAATCCCTTCGATCAATCACGAGTCAGTACCCTTGAGAGGACTTGTGCAAAATTTCAGCTCAATCGGTCGAAATCATGCCTACCGCACGAGAAAACAAAGTTTCGAGAAAAACACGTTTAAAGTTTTGTGTACCGTGATTTGAATGATTTGAATGATTTGACTTGTATACTGTAGCGACTTACTTCAAATCTTCGATCCCGGGTCCATACAATAATTCCTTAGCTTCACCTGCAATTTCCAGGGCATCTTTTTGATATTGTTGACGAATAATTTTAGACTCTCGAGTAGTATCCGAAGCTCTTTGCTCAGCGATCAGTAGGCGTTTTTCGTCCTCGCTCCACGCGTACTCGTGACTGTGCCGACCAAGCTTATCCCCATACTGTACATAATTGTAAATAAGGCTTCTGTCCCTTGATTGAACATACAAGCAACAGTGTATGCAGCAATTTCAACTATTTTTGAGCCAGCAGGTAATATTTTTGGTGTAATTTTCCAAATAAGCTGATTATAGCTTTCGATGTTGTTCGGTGTGAAACCACTTACATAGTGCTCTAAAACATCATCTGGAATTGGTTTATAATCATGCTTGAATGTCTTCCGAAGTTTTGCAGGAGAAGCACGTTGCCATGGACACCAAAACTCAGAACCCTGAGGACACTTTTCACGATGTGGTTGCTTATTGTCAAATTTTTTTTATTGAATTCTCTATAACTTCAGGAATATTGCTCGGATCTACTTGAAATATTGTCTCAGTATTCTTAAAGACATTTACTTTCAAATAGAACAATAAAAAAAATTTCGATTTTTCGAAAATTACAAAGCTATGTAACCCTTTAATCTAATGGGCCTTGGAATTCATTTTTAAGAATATTATTGACTTTAATTGAAGTTAAATATAAAAAAACCCTATTTTCTGGCTCGTATAGATTTTTAGACTTGACAATCGAATTTCCTACTATCTTAGCGCATTCAATGTGACCACATAAAACAACTTCGATTTATAAAAAAATGTTATTGAATGAACGTCTGCTTTGTACCAAAAACAAAGCCTTAACCAAGTTTTTGGAATGTTTTATTTTTTTTTCTATTAATTTTTACTATGTACAGTGAGGTAATGTATATAAACACACCCTTAGAGGTTTCAAAAGTAAGTTTTCATACTATTGAAAGTAACCAACAATGGTACAAATGTATATTTCAAATTTTTTTTATAAATAGTTGAGTGTTACATATTGAAGTAGAAGAAATAAATGCGAGAATCGTTAATAAATAATTAATGGTAATCAGGTTGACTCAGAACTCGCAATTCAACTTTTTTTTATAAATTTAACTTATTTTATGTGTGAGTAGTCACATATAATTAACAAAGATAGTAGGAAATAGCATAGTCAAATCTAAAAATCAATACGGGCCCGAAAGTAGGGCTTTTTTCCATTTCAATGAAAGTCAATATTATTCTTAAAAATAAATTTCGAGGCCTATTGGATCAAATTTATCGTAAAGGACTTCCTCGTTGTGTAGCAGTAAACCACACACAAAATTTCAGGATAATTGGTGATCCGCATCTCATGTAGTCTCTCTTTGTTAGTAATAAACATCAAATAATGATTTTAATCAACCCTTTTAAATAAATTTCAGATGATTAAAAAACTTCAAATAGAAAGTGAAAAGAAAGATAAGCTTTTATTTCAATATCTTTCGGAAGAAGATTTTAAAAATTTGAACTACAGATTAAAGGATTTCATCACTACTGTAGAATCGGAAATTACGTCTAGGCTAAATGTAATTTCCACCTTCTTTAAGGTCTTTTCATAAAAATATGAATTTGAATGTTATTCTTTGAATGAAAATACAATTTTCGTTTGTATATTTTTGAAAACATAACATATAATTTTTGGAAAAAATAAATAAAAAGTACTATTTGTATATAGGTCATATTTATTTTTATTGATATTATTTATTGCTATAATACAATTTGATTGTTGTGTAAAGTACACTAGAAGTACCTATGCTTATAACATATTGTGATATAAAAAACGCGAAAGCATAGCACAATAGAACGGAACAACAACCCTATCGAGATTATATTTAAAAAAAATTATCTATGTTATTCCTATAGAGACGTCACTTATAAAAACTATTGATAAAAGTAATATAGGATCATTATATTAAAAAACTACAGTAAATCTTAAATTAAATACGGCATCCTTAGAGATAAAATTCAGTACTTTTTACATATTACAAGGAATAACAAGTTTTGTATATTTTTATAATATAATAATAATGTCATGAATAAAAATAGTAATGATTAATAAAGTATTTTCTAGAATAACTTACATTCATCTGGGCAATTAAATTATTCGTACTTTTTGCTAGATACAACGAAGACAGGCAGCGAGATCAGATTGGATAAATCGTACCCAAAGAAAAAAAATTAAGTTCAAGCAGTCTCTTATAAGTAGCTCGATCTTTTCATTTTTTTTACTTTTATTAATTTTGTTCTTAACATTTTTCTAAATATATAAGATCTGCGAGCTGATCTGCTATGCCTATGTACCTTTTAATATCATACACTTTGCGCAACATAGCCCAATGTCATACTTCATAATAAGACACAATTATTGTCAGTCTCTATTGTTATGTACTCTTACTTTACTAATACATATTATTTGAATTTTTAAAAATCAAAATTGAAATTCTGTCATCTTTTTAACAATTTCGGAAGATCCCATGATTTTTTATCGCACAGCGAGGCACTAATATACAGCTTTAAAGTCTCAATACATTAAAAATTAAAAATAATGATATCTGATATAAAAATGAAATAATAAAGGATATATAATTAATGAATCACAGTTCCCCGTTTTTACGTTTGTCAAATTGAGTCGCGCGGCGCATTGGGGTCCACGATGAGCGCGGATCATATATAAATAGCCTCTTGACCCTTATTGCTTTGGTGTCCAGTAGCAGGACCAGCGGCCGTCCCGTAGGCATTCTGGGGCGATGCCATACACTCAGACCAGTCACTATTTGAGTGTGGCGAGCTCGAAGACCAATGCCCAGGACTATCCGGCGACGGCGTTGGAAAGCTTTCGGGAGCTTGAAGTAAATGCTGAGGCGTTACATCTGGACCTGAATGATGTGAAGGCGGCGTCAAGTACTGATAGTACTGTTGCTGTTGGCTCTGTTGCTGTTGAAACTGTTGCTGCTGTTGCTGTTGTTGCGACGCTTGCATTTGCTGTTGCTGGTAGGGCATGCTGTCAAAGTCAAACCCCACTGGTGGCATGCCACCGTGCTTCTGATGCGTTGCTTGTCGCATAGCTGCAATGTGCGTCGGGGACGTCGGCAACGATGGCCGACTTTTGGCAGGTGAAGGCGAGCCCATGTAACTCGCTTGTGGCGACAATGTCATATTTGATTGAACGGAATGTGGAGGCGACTGATTACTGTACGGCGGCGATAGGGTATTCACGACCATTCCACCGTTCGACTGTTGTCGTTGTTGATGCTGTGCTACCAGCATTTGTTGCTCATGAAAATTTGACAATCCATAATTTGTGAAACCATCGGGCGATAAGTGACTCAGTTGTTGCAAGCTGTTGGTGATAATTATTTACAATTAGTATTTTTCGATCATTTGCACGATAAAGAGAATTCAAATGTTAAATACGTACTTGTTCTGCTGCATTGTTTGGCTTTTTATGCAATCTTCGTAGGGAGGGGGCTGTTTGGCAGCCTGAACAACCGCAGCAGCTTGTGCAGCGGCGGCCACTGAAGTAGTTTGAGTATGAGGCGCTGTTGCACCTACCAGCGATGGCAATGCATTACTGTACAGGCTTGCGGTGTCGTAAGGACTGGGCAAGTTTCCCTCTGCTCCTTCGGCGCCTTGCGGTAGTTCCTGATTTGGGTTTGGTTGTGCGGCGCGCTTCGCGGCCTGCGGGGGCTGTTGTCCCTGCTGTTTTTTCACCGAGGGTTTTCGCCGAACCGAGGCCGCACCACCGTTTTCCGATTCCGGACTGTTTGGATTTCCAGCGCCTGGCTTCGGACGCTTCTTCGACTTTGTCTGTTTTCCTCCGTTGCCGATCACCGTAGGATGAGAGATCAAACCTGGATGATTAGGCGAGCCTGCTAAGTTAAGATGTTCAGTTTCTCGCATGAACCTGCGAGCGCCTTCGGCACTCGGCAAGTAGCGAAAATCATTCATATTAACAACGTGTTCAAACTTACCCATTAGAGGTCCGTTGGGTATGACGTTGACCATTTGTGGCGATCTTGGCACGTGCTCGTCGAGCAATCGAACGATGTCGTGGTGAAGTCGCTCACTCGCTACGTCTCTCGGGAGCCTGTCCATATGGTCAGTAATTTCTCGATTAGCGAATGTGTCTAGTAAAGCTTTACAAGCTTCATAGCTGCCTTCCCTGGCAGCAAGGAATAATGGAGTCTCGTCCTTATCGTCTTGAGCGTCGCGGTTGGCTCCGTGTACGAGAAGTACGTTAACGGCATCTACGTTATTCACAGCGGCCGCCCAGTGAAGAGCGGTTTTGCCACTGTTGTCTGAAGCGTTAATATCTGCATCAGCGTTAATGAGATCTTCGACCATGCCTTCGGTCGCAAGACGCGCAGCAAGAATCAGAGGCGTCGTTCCGTCATGCATTCGTGCGTTTAAATTAGTAGCCCGATTACGCAATAGAATTTGGAAAACTCCCATAGCATCAGCTGCAACAGCTGAGTGTAGAGGAGTACGGCCAGTATTATCTTGGGAATTGGCATCCGCACCGGCATCTAATAGACGCTTAGCCGCGTCTGCACGTGCATATCTTGCAGCTAGATGAAGAGATGTTTCACCACTCTTATCCGTCGTGGCGTTCGGATCAGCACCTTGAGCAACAAGATTTGCTATGGTAGCTGCAGTATTGTCGTTCTCGTCTTCTTCCTCTCCTGTGTCCAAACCTGCTCCACTGACAGCGGCTACCATAAGCGGCGTCATTCCGCACGGCCCCCTGGCGTCGACATCTTGGCCGTGTTCTTGACTTGGAGGTGTAAGAATGCCAGCATCGGGTCTTCTAATTTCAGCCGCCTCAAAATGCTGCTGCGTCCACATACGTGGCTCAGCCTCTTCGTAATCGGTAATAACTGTGTGATCGCTAGAGTATCCAGGTTCAATGGCACGCCTACGTTTTGAGGGCGGCAAATCAGACTCGTCATCTGACCATTGAGGAGCATGGCCATTGCCCATATCCAGCTCCATACAGTTATTTCCTGGTTGCTGCTGCTTTAGATTACGCATTTCTTGGCCGTCCGGGCCACGACGACGTGAACGTCTCCTTTGAACGCTGCTGGTCGAAGTTCGAATGAAACCTTCCGGGAACCAGGTCGTAATTTTACCGGGGTGTCGGCGCTGGGTGATAAGTACACCGATCAAAGATCCTACTAGAACAACTAGTATGCCCCCAATAAAAACGTATTTGAAGTTGGTCGGCGAATCTGCGTAGTCAGGATTTGGCTCCACTACGCTTTCTATTTTTTCAATCGGAAAGTTTCTCGATAGTGTATGTTTCGAAGCTCGTGCAGCCAAAAATTCAGCAGCTTCATTGGCAGATGGGAAGCAAACGGCTCCAGACATGGTTGTACACTTGCGATTGTCAATTTCAAGGTACGCAACTACTCCTGGTTGATTTTCCATGTAAATAGATGTTGGGCGGCCGAAAAAGTTCGTCTCAATAGACGGTTCACGATCACGCTTCCATGGGAAAATCATGTCTTGTCCAAGATCGTCTTGCTTTACTCGCAAAGTCGTTCTTAACTCATGACCCATATCTCTCAAAAACATTACCAAGTTTTGCCGGAAAGCCATCATATCCATGCGCACAACGACAGAAATGACACCATCGGCCAAAGAAGGTGGTTCTCGATCGCAATCTAAACCGTCCCAGTTGCATTCTTCGTTATTACAACCGTAATCACACATGCCGTTGGCGTAATGCTTGCGACAGTACGCGTCATAGATTGGATTGCAGGGTGCAAGTCGCTTTTCACAATCTCGGCCATCGAAAAGACATTGTGGATTATTGCATACTTCGTCACACACGCCGTTCATGAAGACGTCCCAACAATTGATCGGTGCTGTACAATTTCTCCAAGGATTTATACCAAGAGAACAATCGTTACCATCAAAGTTACAAGCATAGCGGTTACACTCTTCGTCGCAACGATGATTACCGGACTTTTCGTCACACCTATTCTCGATACATTTTTTACGTTCTCGTTCGAGGTCTAGGTCAAAAGCATTCATGTTGTTGTTGTTATACTTGCCAGGCTTTCCAAAAACACCCCCGCGGTAGTTAGGATCATAAATCTCGCAATTTTTGCCGGTCCATTTCGGTGGGCAATAGCAAGCGTAATCACCCAAAAGATTTTCGCAAATTGCATCGGGTTGTTGGCATGGATTGCTGAGACACTCATCTCTGGTATCAATTTCACAATGTGTGCCTCCTACACCGGGCTGGCAGTAACATCTGTAGCCAACGCCGGTTTCTGTAATGCGACATGTTCCACCATTTAGACAAGGCTCAGTGTCACAAAACGATCCTGAGAATTCACAGTTGGGTCCGTAATAGTCAGCTGGGCAGACACAAGTATGACCAGCTTTTTCAGCGGCGCAAACGCCTCCATTCTGGCATGGTGAACTGTCGCAAAAGTTGACCTCGACTTCGCAATGACGACCCATGTATCCCGGCTTGCAATTGCAATGAAAGTTGTTGACGAGCTGCACGCAATCTTGAGTGCCAGGAGAAGCACATGGATTTGACAAACATTCATTGATGTCACCTTCGCATCTTGGACCTACGAAACCCGGAGGACATTTGCACTCGAAACCTCCAACTTTGTCGACACACGTGCCGTTGTTGTGGCAAGCATCTACTACGCAGTCATCAACATTGATTTCACAAATGTACCCAAGGGTGCCTGGTGGACAAGAGCAGCTGTATTTTCCGATAAGATCGTGGCAGGTGCCGCCATTCTGACAGGGATTCGGACTGCAATCGTCCACGTTCAACTCACAATTCTGTCCTTGAAAGCCTTTAGTACAATCACACTGGTAGGAACCAACAAGATCACGACACACAGCTCCGTTTTGACACGGGGCAGAGTCACACTCATTGATTTCGATCTGGCAGTAGCTGCCAGTGTAACCTTCATTGCAGATGCAAGTGTGACTATTACCGACGTCTTTGCAAGTACCATTGTTACAAAGCCTATGCTCGGCTACACCTTTGCGAAGAGCCGCGTCATCGCACGATACCATTTCGACGTCACAGACTTTACCAGTCCATCCAGGTGAGCACTTGCATTCATATTTATTTCTTTGCTGCAAGCACGTAGCGCCATTCTCGCAAGGAGACTCAGCACACCAGTCCACGTAACTTTCACAGCGTTCACCAGTAAAGCCGTATGGACAATGGCAAGTGTAGTACTGCACATGGTCGTGACAAGTAGCTCCGTTTTGACAAGGGTTACTATCACACTCGTTGATGTGATATTGACAGTTGGTGCCAGTGTAGCCCGATCTACATGAGCAAGTATAATTATTTATTCCATCGTGGCAAGTTCCTCCGTTCATGCAAGACGAGTCCGTGCAGTCTTCATCGTTGGTTTGACAATTGATGCCTGAGAAACCGAGTTGACATTGGCACGTGTACGAGTTGACGTACTCTTTGCAGATGGCACCGTTTTGACAGGGATTTGATTGGCACTCGTCGACATCCACTTCGCAGTGTTTGCCATTAAATCCGTCGACGCAAAGGCACGTGTAATCGCCAATACCATCGAGGCAGGTACCACCGTTTTGACAAGGGACTGAAAAAAATTTGGAAAAAAATGGTTACATTATTTTATCGTTTACACGTATATTGATATCGAGATATATATATATATATATCGTTTATGCGAGGTACAAAAAAAATGAAATATTGAACTTACAAGCAGCGCAATCGTCAGTGTTTATGACGCAATCACGTCCTTCGTAACCTTTGGCACAAATACAATGATAAGATCCATTGGTGTTGCGACAGGTGGCTCCATTTCTGCAGGGCGATGTCATGATACATTCATCAACGTCCTCGTCGCAGAGCCGACCAGTGTATCCTACAGTACAAGTACAGGCAAAATCAAGGAAGTTTGAAGACGGTGTGCACTTGGCTCCGTGATGGCACCTGTAAACGAAAACAAACGACAGTGAGATATAGCGCAAATAAATGTAGACAGTAATATTGACTCGGGAATCACTACTTACTTGTTGGGCGAGCAGGGATCGAGTTTGTTCTCGCAATTACGGCCCGTGTGTGGCAGCTCGCAGACGCACTTGTAATCGTTGACAAGATCGATGCAGGAGCCGCCATTCTGGCAGGGATTGTTGGCACAGTCGTCGATGTTGGTTTCGCAGTTGATGCCAGCGTAGCCAGGCAGACAATGGCAAATGTAGCCGTCGAGGTGGTCGTTGCAAATGCCACCGTGCTGACAGGGATTCGAGCCACACTCGTCGATGTCGATGTCGCAGCGCTTGCCCCCGTAGCCGGGTAAACAGTGGCAGATGAACTGATTGACACCGTCCTCGCAGCTGCCGTGGTTGAGGCACGGATTCGAGGCGCATTCGTCGACGTCGCTGAGGCAACGAGCGTCATAGTAACCGCGAGGGCATTCGCAGCGATAGCCATTGACGAGATCGATGCAGCGGCCCCCGTTGGCGCACGGATTCGAGGCACACTCGTTGACGTCGGTCTCGCAGTGTTGTCCGGTGAATCCGGGCTCGCACTCGCAGGTGTAGCGATTGATTCCGTCTACGCAGCGAGCTCCGTTGCGGCACGGGTTGCTGTAACACTCGTTGACGTTGATCTCGCAATTGTTGCCGGACGTACCGGGTCGACAGATGCACTGATAGCCGTTGATGCGGTCCTCGCAGCGTCCACCGAACAGACAAGGCGAACTGTCGCACTCGTCGATCTGCGTCTGGCAAAGATGTCCCGTGAAGCCAGCGAAGCAGCTGCAGGTGAACGAGTTCTCGCCGTCGATGCAGGTGCCGCTATGGCACGGGTTCGATTGGCAATCGTTGATGTTGGTCTCGCAACTCGAGCCGGTGAAGCCAGCCGGGCACTCGCAGGTGTAACGCGCGACCGAGTCGTGGCAAGTGCCGCCATTTCGGCACGGCGACGAGGCGCAATCGTCCACGTTGATCTGGCAATGCACCCCTGCGAAACCATCGGCGCACTTGCATTTGAAGCCGTTTATTAGATCTGTGCATGTGCCGCCATTCAGACAAGGATTGCCCGCACATTCGTCTATGTTGATCTCGCATTGTGTTCCAGTGAAACCTGAAAATTGCACAAAAATAAACATTGATCAATTCCTTTCATTCAGACAAAATCGATTTATTATATATGGAGATGGAAAAAAGCATGTAATTTTTGGCAATCGTGTCGAATGAACCAGTTATCGCTTTTTACTGGAAAGCTTATCGATGTTCTCGAGATTTTTCGGTAGATCCAAGTGCAGGGCCTTTTCTTCGTTCCATTTCTTTTTTCGGCTGTGCTCGACGACAAGTATTACTCTACGTGGTCACGCGTACGTACCGTTAATAATCGACAACGATTCTCTACTTCGTCCTCGACTAATTGCTTATCCCCGTCGGCTCTCGGACTTTACCTACCGATTGCCTGATAATTATTCGGGAATCTTAGTTAAGTAGCTTCAAAAACTCTTGCGAGCTAATTGACGAAAGCACGTTATTACGCGGGCATTTGTAGTATCGCATTCTATCGTTACATCAGTGCCGCGAATGAGTTGAAAATCAATTTCGGTACGAGGCAGGATCAGACGTGAGAAAACAACTGGTTATAGAAGGGAAGGAGCCTTCGAAATGACTCGTACTTAGTTTTTTGCTCGAGTTTCGACATAAAGTCTTCCCGATTGTCGACCCAAATAACTTACCAGAGAAATAATCGATCGCGCGCAATGATTGATCGGCAAAACTTCAAAACGTTACGCATACGCGCACGATCATAAGAGACAACGACAAAGACGAGCAGTACCGCTCGTTGCACATTCATACATATGTGGCTTATAAAGCTCTTGTATTGACACTTGGCATGAACGGTACTTTATTCATTTTGCTTCGAAATGAAAAAGTAGCAATCTGCCAATTATATACTCCGCTATTTCTCGTACGTTAATTGTTCGTCAGATACGCTGCCGCGTTTTTGTTTTTTTCATTGTCGAACGATATTATAGATACATGATGCAGTCGACGTATGCATGCAACATATCGACGGCAGGGCTCGAAACTTCGCAAGCGACTCGGGAGTTCGCATATATACACGCCAAGAGTTGAACTGCTGTATATAACTAATCGGCAATCGAGGCTAATGGACGTGTGTTTAATGCCCAATTTTGCCTTTGCTCTCCGGACGCGGTCGATTTTCATTATTGCCCGGCTTATTACCCACACGCTGAGCACGATGAGCTTGTGCGCGCATCGCAATTACGCCAGTTCGTAGGCTGCGACATATGCTTACTTTGATTCGCTCCTTTTTTCACTCGATCTGTTCATATGTAAGAACATTGCGCGCGATAAGACCTATCGCACTGCAGAATATCAAGTATTTTATATGTTATACGCAATCTTTATTTGGATAAAACCGAACAAAAGAATTAGATGAGTCCTTTTGAAATCTACCCGTAAAATCTTTTTGCACTTATGCGAACCCGGACTTGCTGTATGTCGAGTTATTTTGGCCGGGCCAACAGGTATCTCGTTTCTCGAATGCACTGTATGCGAGACCTTATACTTCAACTCGTCTCCCACTCCACAAGCGCAAAAAATATATATTATACGGCGTAGTAGCAAAGCAGGAGCACGACGACCGTATATTGTATCGCAGCAAGCTAAAGTTTGGAAGAAAATAAACTCAAGCCCCAAGGAAGAGGAAACCTCAGCATAAAAAAAGAGAGTAAAAAATCTCGGGTACACGCCGTCGAGCTACCGAGGTCGGTTTGGATTGCACCAAAATTCGACCTGTCTCGAGAGCTGTATACGCTCTCCGGACGTTAATCATTCGCCTGTGCAGTAACTTACTAAAATCCCTTCGTGAACAATGAGTATCGAGGGAAAGGACAGCGAGTAAAATATTTCTTTTTTTTTAAGCAACAAAAAATCATGAAAATTTACAATTTAACATCGATAGTATCGAATGGCCTGGTCGATCGAACCAATTTATATAGAATCAGAACTCAATATCTGTATTTGAAATCGTTTCTGCGGTTGAGCCGTAGTATATGTAGTATCTGCACATATACTGTGCACAGGCACTGCACATGCAATTGCGATTTTTAGCCTTTTCTGTTGGGTGTGGTTATGCTTGCCAAATAATAAGTTATCTATGTAACCGAACTTTCTCTCATAGTTCGAGAAAATAATGCATTACATGTATCACGAGCAATATATGCTGTTAAAAGGGAAAATATTTGCTTAACTTTTTTCAAATCGCTGACAATTTTATATCTTCAAAACTATTTAAAGTTAAGAGAGTTATAGCAATAAGAGAAAAAAGATAGGTAAATATCGTCAATTATGACTTTTTAGCAATTTGTGACATTGCTTCGCATCGTTTCGTGATAAAAAGAAGTTATTAAATATCGTATTAGTTACATTAGTGTCTCATTGCAATCTTCACGAGATGGGATGATTATTGTTTTTCCATTCATTGCATGAGAGTCCTATGGAATTAAAAGTCACGTTTACTTCGAAATACCTGCTCGCGCGCGCAATCAGCCTTGTCTTTTGGTATCATCTTGGAATCCGTACGGAAAGTCCTTGACTGATTGCCCTTTCTCAAAGCCGACGACAGTGACGACGGTAACGACGACGACAATGAGGCATTCTATGTAACGGTATTTAATGTGAATCTTGCGGTCAATGAAGGGCTTATAATTTATATATGGGGCGAGCAAGCCGTAATCACGTGCAGATATTTCGACAGATTTTCCAAGAGAAGCATCGATGACTAAGGTTTATTAACATTTCATCGGCTTTATATAATGATGCATTAAAAGTATTGACTGCGACGTGCGGTGCCCGCATCGATCCGCGGCTCCAACGGCTCGGGTAAAGATAATGATTCGAATTTGGTCGCGATCGAGGTCAGTACGCATCACGTGAGCGTTATTAATTATAATGCGAACACTGACGAGGCGTTGTTTTGTGAGAAAAGGTCAATCTTTGCACACGGCAGCAGTCAGAATGAGTCAAAGAGTTCATTTTTTCGAATGGACCCGCAGGTTTTATGGCGCGTAAGCGCGCTAGCTCTCTCGCGCAACTCTGTAAAGATTAAGTCCTTATATGCATGTATATGTGTATACGGCGTGCTATCGTGCACGCGGTTAAATTTTTAGATGCCCGTCGGCTTGTGTAACTGTAAAAGTCTGCGCTTGTAGTAATAGAAGTAGCTGTTGTGCGCCGTGGATTATAAAACACAAGTGCTGGAAGAAAGTACTCCCGAGTGCTCGTAAAATCCTTCCACTGCTTGAGATGCTGCCAGCACTGCTGACTGTTACTTCTGAGAAACGTCATTGTTGCCCACCCGTACACCACACATACAAGAACGAGAAAACAACGCGCTGGTTTATACTTGTCTGCAAAGGAGATATTTTTTTTCTGGGATTTTCTGTTTGTTCAGCTGTCCAGCGGCACCGATCATAATTAGAGTGTTTTTCTGTAGTACTCGATTCCTCGCGCATCACGTGTGACCCACATTAATTTGAATACGATTTGGTTCGACTCGATCGAGCTGCTCTATAAAGATTCTTGAGCATAGGCATGGAAATTAAAAGCGTGGGACTACTATACGGAAACTTACTAGCGGGGCATTAGAAGTGTGGACCAAAGCGCTGAGAAATGTTCTACGAGCTGCATCAATATGTACGCTGTATGCTTATCGTCTACGTCTATAGCTCGAAACTTTCTCTATACTCCTATGTTATAGCTCGCTTAAGCGCACAGCTGACGCTATGAATTCAAACGCGTCTATGTATATGTTTATACTTTATGCTTAGATTTGACCTGGGTGTGTCCGCATGCATATATATATATATATAAAACCGAGGGAGAGAGAGTTGAAAATTTACGCAAGCGACGTTTTAGCTCGACTTATAGGCACGTGTACCGCACGCGAACGATCGTTGCATGTCTCGAAAGATTATATTGAAAATTTTAATTTTTTCACTTTCTTCTGCATTAAAAGCAATTTTCCAATTAATGAAGAAATTTTATAAATTTGATTAGATGCACAAACTGCTGATAGTGACTTTGATAAGTACATCAAAAAGTTTGACATTTACGAGTGAGTTATACAGAAGGCCCTCGTTACAGTCGCTTAGCCTTATGATTGAAAGACACATATACATGCAGACATCAGTCAGAAATTTTGTCTAGTTTATGAATATATAGTCAGAATATAACAATTAACAAAATTTGATTTTTTCACAGAGCTTCCTCGATAAGGAAGCAATAAATACAATAAGTTTGGATAATCGAGGACAAAAAAAATATTCACTATTCACAGTCGTTATATAGATACAAGTTAAAATAAAGAAATGTAACAAAAAAGTTCTACCGACAAGCTTGATTAATATCACAGAGAGTGAAAAGCTGTAATTCATCTTTGGAAAAATAAACTAATCGATACTCACGTACGAGCTTAATGATCGTTTGTAAAAAGTAAATCCCCATAATTCCAATATGTAAAGCGTATATTTGTATATATGCATGCGCGCTTTTATTTTTCTGATCGCAATGTCCAAAGACGAGGGAGTACATTAAATGAAAAAAAGACGCTGAATCGCACGCATATACCAGATCCTTTTGAGAGAGTAAAGCGAATGTTTAAAATGAAAAAAAACCAACTCTAGTGATATCAAAGTTACTTGAATAGTGAAATATTCACTAGATCTATTTCGCGTTATTCGTGCTCGACACTCGATGTAATTTTTCTTCAACTAACTCGAATATTTTAAATGAAGAATTTTTCCAAGAAAATAACATAAATAAATAGAAATTGTGTAATGCGACCACCTTCGATGCATAAAATATATCTATGCTCATGTGTGCAACTTGTAAGTATCCAATCAGTGCATCTACGAGTATTATTTCCGCTTTGTAAGTGAGTCCTTAAAGTCGCGAAGCAGCATGATAAAACCGGTAAGTCTATCGTTCCAATGCACGCACTTTATTTTTCAATCTATTGCGAACTATGTTATTTATTTATGTGCACGTGTAGCGTTGACGACGTTGCGAACTTTAAAATTACGGCTCTCACAA